TATGATACCTTCCTTTTTCTTTTTCTCAATCTCATGGAGTAATCAGGAATGTTTTGACTGACTTCCGCATCACTGAGCCAAGTACACGGATAGCAAAGAGGCCCTAGGAAGATGTGGCGGCGAGAACTGTAACACACCAAAAAAATGCTCCTTTGCAACAGAAAGAGAGAGACAGCTGAAGTAGATGTGCTGTTTCAACTGGTTCCTAGACAGTACTAATATTATATAAATCAATAAATATTTATATAACATAAATCTGTAATAGTTCAAACCATCTGGCTCCAAAAGAAAAAGACACCCTCCCCCCAAAGAGAACAAAATGAAAACAAACAAATCTATGTAAACAGATTTTAAGGACTCTTAAGTAAAATCTCTCTGTCACGTAGATTTTTCTAAGTTTAGCTGCTGAACTCATCTTATTTATCGCTATCCCATTGTGAACATCCTGGCTGCTGAGTCCTGTGAATTTAGAAAGATAGTTGAAGCCATAGTTACAATAACTTAAATTTTTTAGCTATTTTGAAACAGCAGGGATATTTCACCTTTTCAAAAAAGCAACTATGGCCACAGGTGAGAAAAGAGGAGGAACTAATGGAGAAAAAGCAGACACAGACGGAAATAGGAATAAAAAGAGAAAAATCATGGTTAATTATTAAAAAAAAATAGGTAAACCTAGTATTAAAAAAAGGGAGGGAAGGGAAGAAAGTGATGCAGGAGAAAAATATAGTTTAAAAGTCTCAATCTGGAGCCTCCCTGGTGGCACAAGGGGTTAAGATGCAACCTATGAAGCTATCGGCAGCCTCTGTAGCACAAGTTCGATCCCCAGCCAGGGAGCAACCCACATGGTGCAGCAGACCTCTCCTGACTGACTAGCCTGCTGCTCCGCTCAGCAGTGGATTTCAGTAGATCCACCTGTTCTGCTCCCCACTCTGTCTCTGGTGAATCCTCTCACCCCGCCCCCCCCACACCTCTGGCCTGTACCCCAGTTCTTGTATGTATGCATAAAGTCTCAATTTGGATATAACAAGACATTTACCAAACAACTTGAGTAATTACATACATTACTTGAATGCCAATATGAAATCAACTCCAAATTCAAAGTATTTATGTATTTTTCTCTAATAATCAGTAATTTATTATCATATTTTAGAGATAAGGAAACAAAGGCTGAGAAGTTAACATGCCTCAAATTAAATAAGAGGTAGAGCCTCTACTCCTGTCTCACAATCAGTCAAGATGACTAAGTTTATTGATATTCACAAAAGGATTCACTGCATGTTCCTTTAAAGAGAACCAACACTGCTAGTGCATTCAAAATCCAGAGATTTACAAGAAATTGACATTTATCTAACTTCTCTGAAATAGTTTTATATAAATCAGGATAAAAAGATAAAACTTTCTTCCCCAGTCTACAAAAAACTTCTCATTTCATATTGAAAGCACTACTCTACTTGCCAAAGTTAGAAAACTTTTAATTCAAGTGACTTTAAATTATTAAAAATTATTTTCCCGTAATATATAAATTGACAAAATGCCATGTGTTATGAACTCCCATTCTCTCTTGGATGGTAATTAAAAACAAAGCTGAATCCACGCTAATGATGCAGGTAAATACAACCCAGAAACACAAGCATAGTGAAATTCGATACTTATCTAGACCTGCATGTCTTCCAAAACACCACGTCTAATATGTAGAAATCTAAAGAACCACGAGGCTGCTGACCATAGTTGTCCAAATCGGTGGTAGTTTCCTATGAAAAAGAGCGGGCCACAATCTGGACAAATAGCTTAGACCTGGACATTGATTCATCCCTGGGGCTTCTAAACCACAACTATTAATGTCTGTAGTAATCACAGGTAGGTGGGTTCCTGAAAAGTATTCTGCCTTAGCTAGACAGATTTCACCTATGCCAGTCTCTTAAAGATCTAGTTGCCCAACTGAAATTATTCTACATTTGGGAAGACTAGGTTCATGATTACATAATAACTACACCGGTCTTTTATTAACATGAATGTAATAAAGACAACCTCTTTGATACTTGAGCTGTTTGCTAACACTGTTCAATCATTTATGTCTTATTGTCCTAAGTTTCTTAACTGCCCCTTTGGCCCAGTGATTGCCCAGCACTAGTGGTACCAAAGGATGAACAATATAATGAAATACTCTAAGGCTACCATGGGAAAGGGCAAATAACCTTGCCATTTGCCTGCTAAAGAATTGATTTTAAGTGAATGTGGTTCTTCTGAATAAAACATGTAAGCTAAATGGTTCATCTCTTCCTTCTAGTGCTACACATCACCTAACGGAATACAGCACGATTAATCAGTAATCATTAGGGGAAAAACAGTTAAGAAAGAACATAGCTGTTAAGAAAATGAAATTTAAAATGAAAGCGAGTAAAAAGAGGTTCTCTCCAAACCAAACTTTTTTGCTATTTTTCCCCCCTTTGGCACCTAGTAAATGTTACACACAGATGTGTATGATAAAACTAACAAAACGTTAACACTACTTACAGAGAAACACTAAACTTCTCCTAAGAAGTGGTATCATCTCTCTTTTCCTCTTTGGCAGCACCAGCATTACAAGAACTGAGGTGTAAGCTATTACACTGGGGAAAAGACCATCAGGAAGGACTTTATCCCACTGTTAGCACAGGCCTCGTTTCCCGCCGCCTAGACGGGAGGTGCTGGCAGTGAGCGGAAACAGGCGGACGACGTGAGGCTCATGCACTGGCCATATACATCCTAAAGGGCAGTTCAAAGACTAGCTCCAGTCTCAGTCGTGCTGTAAAATGATCTTGGCTCTGGGAGGTTCCTTTCTGAATCTCCTTACATGTAGTCATCTCAACATCCACCTCAGCAGCCGTCTCAACAGCCCCCTCAACAGCCGTCTCAATAGCCACTTCAACAGCCGTCTCAACAGTCACCTCAACAGCCACCCCAATAGCCACTGAAGAACCCAATTCATACTGGCAAGCAATGTGTCAACCTCCCCAGGGACGATCCTTAAGGAATGTTTGACTCAGGGAAACGAATTACCTCCTCAGGGTGGGAAGAGATATTCTGGGAGGAAAACCCTGTCAAAACGGACACCCAAGGGTCTCCCCGGTGGTGCAGTGGTTGAGCCCTGGGCTGTGAAGCTGCCCACAGCCTCTGCAGTGCCGGTTCGATCCCTGATCGCTGGCGAGGGTCCCACATGGCACGCAGACCTCTCCTGCCGCCCGCTGCTCCCCTCAGCAGTGTACCTCGGTCCCTCTGCCTGCTCTGCTCCCCGCTCTGGTTCTGGTGAATTCTCTTACCCTCCCGTGCTTCTGACTATACCCAGTGCTTGTATAAATAAATAAATAAATCTTTAAAATAAAAAAAAAAAAAAAAAGGACGCCCAAGGTAGCAGTCCAAGTCGCCTTTCACTGAGCCCGGCACTGAAGACCACACTGCATGGCATTAACTCACTGACTACATTTATCTTTTGGCCTGTGGGGCCTGGCCCTGGTAGTGACAGCTAATACAGTGTTAGCTAAAACAACTTAGTTTCTAAAAACATGCCCTGCATACCCCTGACTCAGCTAACTTTCACTGGAGATCGACTGTAACTGACCTATATTACTTCTCATGAGCAGAAATATTTTTTACATCATGTAAATTCACAGCCATATTTTTAACATGGTTCTTGAGCACTACCCTTGTTATTCTAGGTAACACTTTTTAGCGACATACAGATTTTTCTAATACCAATATAACATATCCAAACATAGAAAATACACCGAATACACAGCTTGATTGATTTTTTCCACGTATTTCTTTAAAGGAAAATGGTGAAGATAGACTCTGGGTAATGTTATATTTTACCTTAATTTTATGTGAATTATAAAATAGAAATTCATTAATCTGTATAAATAAAAATAATGTCCCCTCAAAAAAGACCTTACATGTTTACAGATAATAGTGCAAACAAAATAATTTTACAATTACAATAGCCTCAACATTGTATCTCATTCATTATTCAATTCAACTACCTTTTCTTAGTTATTCGAGTTATTCTGGAGAGACTGAAATTTATAAATTCTACTAAAATCAAAGACCTTAGAGCACACTGAAATAATACTGAGACCATTATGATTTCTTATGAATAATTATTGTTTTAAACATCTTTTAGTCTTCACATAATTATGAAAAATGTAACTCAGAAGAAAAATATAATACCATAATCCATTAAATAAAAGATACAGTAAGCCAGGCGAGTCAGTTTTTTAAGAAACAATTAAGTTAACGGACTCAAGAGCACGTTTCTTCTTCACTAGAATATGAAAGTGAAACAAAATTAGCATTTTACTCCATGACAGAAAGTTCACTGCACCACTAAATGTTTCACTATCTTCAAAAATACAATTCTCATTGTTTTAGAATACACATGTTTTATATTAGTGGGCTAGCATAGTTATTGTTTCTTCTTCAGAAAACATTACAAAATGAAGCACTGAAATGAATAAATCCTCACAGGCAAAATTTTAGGAAATCCAAAATCACCTTGCCCAGGTCATAATTCAAAGACAGCGATAAATATGGTTAGTCAATGGAGAAAAAAATCAGTAGAAATATAAAATATGAAAAGTCTTTAAAATCCAGACAGCAAATATAAAAACAGACAGACTTTTGTGAAAGTTGGGGAAGAGATTTAAAGAAATGAGGTATGATGGAGTCATAGTGCTACACTAGATCTCAACGTATTAATAACTTATATTTCGAAGTTGCAAAATAAGGAAATCATAAACTCCTGCTGCTGTGCTCACATGACTTTTCTGAGCAGATGTAGAGTAGTCACTAGTAAACACATTTAGCTAAGCAATTAGCCAACTGCACGATCATATGGTGAGCATATGTGCCACTGAAGTCAAATTATAAATAAAAATGTAAGCAAACAATTTTGTATTAATGATAAATACAGCTTCAAGCATTTAACATTATCAATATTTTTAAAATTTAAATAACAAATGCAATTATTTTATACAGAACTGTACCATTTATTATACACACAAGGATATCAGTTCCCTTTGTTTACAAAGGCTGGTTATAGATAATTGGAATGTTACAGTACCATCTTGCATAAAATTTTAGTACAGTTTTGTACTTGAAAAAGGGTGCAAAAACACCAGCCTAATAAATCTTACTGAATGAAATTGCTTTCTTTTTAAAAAGTACATCATTAACACATCACACCACAAACTGTACATAAGCTCACTTTTAAATCACCGATTGAAGATACAGTAGCAGGGATGGTGCAGTATTAATGATCTCGCCCATCACTTTACTCATTAAAGGCTTACACTGCTACTCATTCAGGAGGCTTTTTTGACACGTAAGCTTGTAATATGAATTACTGAACTCAGGAGAATATAATTTAAAGGAGGCCAACAACAGCTGCCAACAATGATTTGTAATGAGAGATGTCCTTCTCACCGAAGACTCACTGAGGAGCAAACATTCTTCAGATCGCTTTCTCCTTTCAGCTCATTGTCGCTGGTCAAGATTCTGGTCAAGATTCTCCGTTTTGAACTTTGGATGCTGGTGGTTGCATGAAATCCTTAAAGGGAACTAGTGCCTCTTTAAGTGCAGAGCAGACTTCTGAGGATGAGCAGGTGATGCATTCTACTAAGGTCGGATATAAGGCAATTACTTGTGCCCACGTATTTCCATCCACTGCAATGCAAAAAGTATAAATCCTCAAAAAAGGGGTGGATTAAATAGCAGAATATCCAATTATCATAAACACAACCCTATAACTCCAACACAAAGAAAAAAATCTCAAGTGTGGAGAGCCTAAAAGCTCTACCTGAGCTTTCTTTAATCTATGGAAGATATTCAATAATACTGTTAAAAAATATTGGTGGGGGGAACCAGTGGTCAACGTGCAGTCATCAATTTGATAAAGTCCATGTTAAATGACACTAGAACCTGTGGAGGCCGTGGAAGCTAAGAAGTAACTTAGAATAATTCAAGCCTTTTCATTTTCAGAACAATTGCCAGAGAATAGAGTGCACATTTCAATAACATTTCAATGACAATCAGCTCCCTTTTTTTATGTAATTGTTTGCTAAAAATATGAATATCTAAAAATATTTTCCCAGCAATATCCTTTTCACTGATTGTAACTTCAAAGGAGCTCACAGAGACCCGTTCTTCTCTTACACTGTTTGCTTTTTTTTTTTTTTAAAAAGATTTATTTATTTATTATTTATACAGGCACTGGGTACAGTCAGAAGCGCGGGAGGGTGAGAGAATTCACCAGAGCCAGAGCGGGGAGCAGAGCAGGCAAGGACCGAAGTGCACTGCTGAGGGGAGCAGCGGGCGGCAGGAGAGGTCTGCGCCCCGTGCGGGACCCTCCTCTGGTGCCTGGGGAGTGGCCGGGGATCAGAACTGACGCTGCAGAGGCTGCGGGCAGCTTCGCAACCCAGCGCTCAACCGCTGCGCCACCAGGGAGGTCCTGTTTGCTAACTGTTAACGAGTGTTAGATTCCAACATGGGTAGTACATGCCTGTCTTTCTCACCACTCTCAGGAACCACGACTACAGCTGCGTGTGATCGGGTGAGTAAGAGAACGTGCTATCTTCCAGTTAGTTCCTAATTCCCACATCCTCTGAGATCACCTATTACATTTCTGTTTTCCTGTAAGTACTGTGCATATGGTTGAGAGTGCAACATGCAATAAAACCTGACAGATTTTGCTTAGACAGTCTATGGTATATAACTGTGGAACAAGTCTCAAAACTGGGAGACAGTACAGTAAAAAAGAAAGAACACTGTACTATGTGTAAGGAGCTTTGGTTCCATTTTTTACTCTTAGTGTCAACTATGTGCTTAAAAACCTTTATGAAATAAAGCAATGCTGAGTGTCCCTAATCAATTAATTTCTCTTCATCTCAACTTCTGAAATTTCTCAAACTAGTATTACTTATGTTGCTTCTTAGAAAAAATGATGGTCAAGAAAGACTGGCAGTATCTCCTTTTTTGGGGACTGATAATTCACACAAGTTTATTAAAGGCTTCCAATAAAAGAACAGGCTTAACTTTATTTAATTCATTGTTTTCAAAATTAATTTAGTCATGGAAAGTCTCCGTTCAGTATCTACTGATCAGTCATCATTATTCATGTTCATCCCCAAGTACTTATCTTGGGCAATGCTGAGCTGTTCATTTAATCCCTTCTCCAGGAAATCTCCAAAGAGCAGGCAAGGGGAGGAGGGGAGGCTGATGGGCACGGGGGAGGGAGGACATGTCTGGCCAGAGCTGTCTGCTTTCATCTGTTCTATGTACTGGGATTGTGGGACTAATTCCGTTTGATATATCAGGCTTCATTTGTAAAAGGAATTCTGCTGCTTAACAGAAAACAAAGAAAAAGTTTAAAAATCACTGATCTAAGAAGTTACTAGTCTGGGCCTCTCTGGTGGCGCAAGGGGCTAAGCACTGCATTATGAAGCAATCCGCAACCTCTGCAGCAGCACGAGTTCAATCCCCAGCCAGCTGGGGAGATTCCCCCATGGGGAGGCAGACTTCCCCTGTCTGACCTGCTGCTCCCCTCAGCAGTGTACCTGCAGTGTACTTTGGTCAATCTGCCTATTCTGTTCCCTGCTTTGTCTCTGGTGAATCCTCTCACCCCCCACCCCTCTGGCCTGTACCTTATTTATGTATGTATGCATAAATAAATCTTTAAAAAAAAAAAAAAGTTACTAGTTTGCTCCAGCTGTTTTCTGTGAAACTTTCCAATAATCATTTAACAAAAGATGGCACTGAGAGGATTCACAGGAAATGCAGATTAGGATGTGCCAGGAATCTATCTTCCCACTCAGGCAACAATGACAGTGGCAGAATGTTTGATGCAACTGTCGTGGAACTGCAGAGTCTACTGAAGGCTTAAGAGTCCAAGAGGAAGATTTAGTGGATTGCGGCTGATTTCGGTCAATTTCAGCCCTTAACACAGTAGCAGCTTCTCTCCCTCAGCCCCAGCCACCTGGCAGGCCGTCCTGTACACGTTCCTATCATGCAGACGGTCCACAGGAGGCCAGAGTGGACCAAATGGACCCTGTTCTCCAAATATCAGGCATCTGTGCTCTAATTACTGTTTCTGATTACAGAGGTACAAGGAACTTCAACACAACAAGTAACTCGATTCAAAAATACACAGGACTTGAACAGCCATTTCTCTAAGAGACACGCAAATGGCCAACAATGCACTCAAAGAGAGGCTCGGTATCTTTACTCGTTAGGAGAATGCAGGTCTGATCTCAGTTCTTTATCTCGTCCTGGACTAGTAACAACTCTTAAGACCAGTGGTTCCAACAAACCACTTTTGAGTAGTAATGTTGTTGAGGGTCCAAAGTAGATCAAACACAGTTCAAAATGTCGATGAAGAGGTTTACAATTTAAGAGGAGTGAGTCATGCACATGTGTAACTGTAATAGAAATCAAGAGTTTCAGACAAAGTCACACATCAGAGAGTGCAGAGTTCAAAGAAAAAAATCACCTGTAAGGATTAAAAACAAGGCTTGAAAGTGGAGTGCAGGAAAGCTCACACACAGAAACCTCAATGGCAGAATGCCATCGTCCCCTGGCAGATGAAGAGTCACTATACTGTCAACTCCCAGCGACCTCCAATAGGCGCGTCATTTCTAACAGACTCTCTAAAATCTACAGGAGAATATTTTGCTTTTGTTCTGGGGAAGTGTACACATTTTTAGCCATAAGACCACACTATCCAAACTGTTTTTTGTTTTTATTTCGGAATAGACCCACTACGCCAGCGAAGTAACTGGCTATTTATTTGTTTGAGGCCAACAAGTGGTGTCTGCCCTAGGCTGAGAGAGGCAGGAGAATGCGATAAGCAAAGAGGTGGGAATTTGGGGGTAGACTGAAAATTTCTGTTTGGAAGGAGAGCAGGGCACATGAGGTCCAGTGGGACGTAAAGCAGAATGGAGTCTTTGGTGGTTTTCCTCCCATTTGACGGCAATGAAGAGGATTTCTGTTGCTTTACAAAGGTGAGAAAAATAAATATCAAAGCTGGGGCCTCCCCGGTGGCGCAGCGGTTGAGCGCTGGGTTGCGAAGCTGCCCGCGGCCTCTGCGGCGCCGGTTTGATCCCCGGCTGCTCCCCGGCCACCAGAGGAGGGTCCCACATGACGCGCAGACCTCTCCTGCCGCCCGCTGCTCCCCTCAGCAGTGTACTTCAGTCCTTCTGCCTGCTCTGCTCCCTGCTCTGGCTCTGGTGAATTCTCTCACCCTCCCGTGCTTCTGACTGTACCCAGTGCATGTATAAACAAAAAAACAAACAAACAAATAAATAAATAAAAACATGCCTCTATTAAAAAATAAATAAATAAAAATATCAAAGCTGTACTTTTGGAAAAAGCATTTCGGGCAACAAATGAGAAAGGTTTTAACAACTATTCAGTCATTTATTCAGTTAAATTTGGTGGTGTGTGCACTGCTGTGGCAGTATCTGATGCGGGGATTCTAATGTTAACCTTGATTAAAAATAAATTAATTTTTAAAAGTTACTTATACAGTTTATATCTACTTAGTAAGTCAGCACAGTTGCAGAGGGGAAGCCTCCCTCTTCTATGCCAAAGTAAGCTCAGTGACGTTCTACATTAAAGATGTATGAAATATGAATTGCTCACGCAGCACCCTGAATCAGAATAATTTAGTTTAAAAAAAGCCAGTTAGACTATTCTTTAACAGGAAGAAGATAAAACATACATATCAATTTTACTTAATTCACATTTTAATGAACGTAATGCTTTGCTGTTATAAGGGATGAAGAAAGGAAAGTCTAATAGCTGTTACGGTCCCAAAATTCAGCTAACTTACTAATAAATAAAAAGAACATCACAAATAGAACATAAATGCTGTCAGTTTAGAATAAGTGAGTTTCTAAGCACTTACCATTTTCAGGCTGAGTTTTCTTAAGTGAATCAATGAGAGTACTGACTGCTTTTAAAACAAATATTATTTCTGTTACTTGTTGCCTAAAAAAGAAATGGACAATTATTTCCATCATTTAAGATATACCATATGTGTTTTTTACTAGGTTTAGATGAACAGATGTACTTTGGAAAACTACTGAATACAGTAAAATGCAAAGTTAATATCAGTTTTAAATTCTTATAAAAGAAAAATCATTTTATGAACAGCTACTTCAGTGTGGAAATAAGATGTATAGTTATTCTTACCATAAATTATCAATTAAAAATGGAGGGGGAGGGCAATCTACTTATGCAAATCTAAATTTATTGTTAAGATATTACATATAACCACATAAAATTAGAACATTTCATAAATATGCTTTAAAACTTATTTACAATCTTCTTTTTCCTTTTAAATTATTCTAAAAGGGAAAGCTAAAATGGAAATAAAGATGATTATTACCTCTTAGCACTTATTTTATCATGCTGCTAAAAGTGTACTTAAAATTGCAATATGGCTTATTTAACACCAAGTAAGAAACATGCTCAAAATCAATCCTAAGGTGGCACTACATGGAAACATTAGGAAAGAACAACAAACTTGGCATAAAGGATCGAGAAGAGTAGCTTGGCTTCGTTCCCCCTACAGAAACAAAGCTGCTCTGCTCTACAGTTCTCCCCCGCCTATTTCTGGTGTGAATCAGTGTTATTCTACAGATAACATTTTTCTAACACCAAGACAAGATACTATTTCAAGCCTGCTTTTGTAAGCACGAAAGCACTTTATATTGTGTTGTGATATGACTTTTTTCACAATAATGTAATGATACTACATCAAACATAGGATCACCAACATAATATTTCATGGGAAAACTATAAATAAAATTCAACTTAAAAGTAGTAGATACTTTGAACCTAAGAAAATGCAAAAAACTTGCTTTCTGAAATCAAATGTACTATAATAAAAAAAATTCTAAGCACAGCAAATATACTCTAGAGATACTGAGCACTTAGCATTTTCAGGTAATGAGTCAATTTTCAATCATGACCATAATGAATTGACTAACACCTGTCTTTGGAATGTTTCTGTATATAGATTTGAATATGGGGAGGAAAAATTTTTGCTCTAGAAATTCAAAATGCAGTCTAAAAAAAGAAATACAAATGGCTAATTGTCATTAAGAAAGAAAGTAAAGTGCTATGGAATTCTACTTTTTATTCATCAAATTTAAAACAGATATATGATTAACTGACAAATAATTTCCAATGCTAAAAAACTGAGGAAAAGTCATATACTCCTGGGAGAACATAAATTAACAGATATCTCCGATAGGCAATTTGTCATTACCTATCAATGGCTTTGAAAATGTCTAGAGCTTTTTGTCAGGTCACTTCCAAGTACAGAAATTTATTACAAGTAAATATGAATGTGCACAAAAATTGGGGGTTAGGGAGTTACCGCTCCAACACCATCTTACGAGATGGAACCCACAATGATTTTCCTCCTTCCTGATTTTGATAACTTAGAAATGACTGCAAAGCAAACTAGGAAGTTCTGACTTAACTATTATTTTCTCTCCTGTGATATCCAGTTATGTGCTCACAGAGGTCAAGTATTCATCTAGAAACCCTTGGAGGAAGAAGTCATTTTTTTCCCCAAATTCAAAAAGGTAATTTGGTTCATACACTATGTATTATTTAACTTCTATGATGTGAGTGAAAAAGTGCTGATAATAAAACACATTAATATATCTGCAGCAAGAGTTATGAATATTTACAATGTTTGAGGTAATAAAACTATAAACAACTTCAGGTTAAGTCCAGATCACTTATGCAACATTTGGCTTTCAGAGTTCTTTTTTATTAGTAGTATCTATATCATCGGATATTTTCCTTTAATAAAATGAAATATATACCTTGGCAGAGGGCATTTGCCGCTTAATCTCTCATCCTCTATGTAGCGATGTAGTACGTCTTGAGACCTCTTCAAAAGCACTGAGAGTGCCATCCGTGAGATGTAGCCTTCCTGAGGTGTCGTGACTTTATTACTGAAGGAAAACTGGAGCAATGTTTCAAAACACATTTTAGAAAATTCCTCTCGCAAACGAATATCAATCTCTGCTTCTGTAAAATTAACAATTTTTGATGATTAATACAAAGTTAAGTTGATACACCTTCATGATTACTACTCTTAACAACCTAGGCATAAAAGAAAATTCTTCAGTTGTTGAAGGGCATCTATGAAAACCGTAGAGCCAAGAGCACAGTATGTGTGCGCATACAGTGAAATGATGAACACATTTCCCCCTTGCAAGATCAAAAACCAGGCAAGACTGCTCAGTCCACTCAACATTTTCTTGTCTTTGTCTTTCATCCCTTCCACAGCACTGTAACATACCTCCAACAGTTTTCCACATGGTCAAACTTGTAATAACTATTTCTTTTTTCCTCTCTGCAACATCTTTCCTGGAGCTTGACTTCTGTCCCAGCTGGACTAGGCGCTCTCTAGACATGCTGTCCAGCCATAACCTGGAATTAGCGTTTGCTATCACCCTGGGAATTAGTTTCACTCTCTCTTGTTTTACACTCCACTTCCTAGATCTCATGGCTTCCCTTTCCTTGGTTTATTCCTTTGTTTTCATGGAGCATATTCTATAGTAGCTAAGAAGCAACTGGGAAGTAATGCTCTTAGGAACTTGTATTTGTGAAAACACCATGGTATTACTGCAGTGCTCCAAGTATGGTCCCCGCAGCAGTGCCACCACTGGATGGTCTGTGAACAATGAACATCCTCATGCCCACCCCAGGCCCACTGAATCAGAAACTCTGGAAGTACAGCCCAGGAAGGTCTGGCCTCTAGGTGATTGTACTGAGGGCTGACATCTGAGAATTACCATTCTACACTCTTATCTAGCCAGCAGTGTCCCCAGGTATGGAACTCCATGCTAAAAATCCTTTCCATTTGTAATTCTGAAACCAATGTTTCAATGTCTTTTAGCATCCTACGTCGCTACTGAGAATTTTAACTTCAACTTTTTGTTGAATTCTCTTCTTTTTGAAATCTTTTAGTATCTTCTCTTTATTCCAATTAATTTGATTTTCATGATGAATTGCCTTTTTGTGGTTCTTTTTTTCTTTTACTACTCTGGGTTGAGTTACCTTTTTTTTTAAGATTTATTTGTATTTATTTATGGATACAAGAACTGGGGTGCAGGCCACAGGTGCAGTGGGGTGAGAGGATTCACCAGAGACAGAGTGGGGAGCAGAACAGGCAGATCTACCGAAATACACTGCTGAGGGGAGCAGCGGGGAGACAGGAGAGGTCTGCTGCGCCATGTGGGTAGTTCCCTGGCTGGGGATCAAACTCATGTTGCAGTGGCTGGCGAGAGCTTCATAGTGCTGAGACTTAACTGCTCAAGCCACCAAGGAGGCCCAGAGTGACCATTTTTAATCTGGAGATTTATTTATTCTGTTTTGTTTATTCAATAATTTCCTATTAGCTTTTCTCCATTCTTTCTTTCTAGAAGAGCTATTTATTATCAGATGCTAGCCCTCTTAGAGTCATTTTCTTTCTTTCTTCTCAAAGTTTCCCCTTTTTTGTCTTTACTTTTGGGCTTATTTCCCTAATGTTTCTCTCCCCTCCTTCATTTTTAGTTTTAATGAGCTTTTTCTTGTTCTCCTTTTTAACAGCATTTTTTCTTGTTTCTGTTGAGCATCCTAATTTTAGTGTTTAAAACTCTTCTTGTATGACACTATATTTTATTTGCTTTCCCTGTTTCTTTTATCCCCTCTTCATGTGTTTTTCTCTTTTGTGTCGGAGGAGTCCGCAGATGTTTGCAAGCTTTAGCTGCCAGATCGCACTTAAGAGCAGGGGACCAAAACCGACCACTGGACCCTCTGTGTTTCTAGGCTGGTCTTGTTTAGGAAGGAAGCTTCTGTTTAAGAAAAACTCTGACTTAAAGCTGAGAAGCTGTTTGTGTCCTATGACAAAGTCATTGAAAAAATATCTATGTACTTTCATTTAAATAAGTGACAAGGGATATAAACAAAACGTCTAGAAAAAGCATGCTTGTAATTCAGAAGTCTGATTTAGCTTAAAATATTTACATCTAATTATAAATACTGTTCTTAATGTGTATTTTATAGTTAACCTAGAAAAATTTTACATACTCTTAGTAATAAAAAATTGTCTACATTAAATGGATTTTAAATATTTGCTGTGAGATTTTCGTGTTTGCTAAATCTGCAATTTACCAGATCAGCATTAAAAATAGGACTAGGAAAAAAAGTTTGTGACCTAAGCAGCATGAGAGACATCTAGTGGTCAAACTGTGAAAATAAATACCAGAAAGTATTCAGCATAGCTTAGAAGTTATGGCTCTGGTAAATTTTGGTGATTAAGGAAACATATGGCACAAATACACAATTTTTTAATCATTTTACAGAAAAGTCACATTATCATGCTACAGTTACATTTAAAACTTGAGCACAGTTTCAGAAACAGAGAAGCAATAGCAAAAAGCATACACACCATCTCTCAATAAGGTATGCACGTAGTTCTTTTCAAGGGTAAACTTTGGTCTCCAGTCTTAAGAGTGTGTCTTTTTTTTCAACCTTTCTAAATCCATTTCCACTACTGTGATATGACAGAGTCTATCCTCACAGAAATGTGACCAATAAGAGAACATCCTAGTCTAAAACCCTGCACACAGTAGGTATAAATTAAACGTCATTTCCTTAACAAATGTTAAGTCATCTTACTATCTTTTTTGTGAACTAACTCTGAAATTCATAGTCCCGAGGTGTTAGGATTAATATTTTCATTCTACAGATGACAAACTGAGACTCAGAGAAGTTAACTGATTACTAAGTGTCACACTTACTATGACCCAATAATCCACGACTTCACTAAAGTGATCATTTGTGTCAGCCTGCAATAATTTAAGTAAATTCCACATCTATGATTTATGATTTGATTCATCACACATAATTCACAGAATATTTGCCATACTTCCCCTTCATAAAGCTTACTGTTCTGTACCACATTCTTGTAAGTGACCTTACCATTCTCCACTTTACAGCTACAATAATCACAGGAGTAAACATTTCCACAGCCAACTTCAAAAGCACTTCAACACTCACTAACATTAAAAGAAAAAAATCACTGAGTACCATACCTGTAAATGAAGATGACTGAGAATGTATTGAGCCCTTATTGAGCATAGTCATTATCTGACCAACAAATTCCTTAGGAATAAAATTGGCATAAGGGAGTATCTCAGTGCTGATAAGCTGAACGACCTAAAACAAAGGAGGCAAATGCAAATGAACTTATTTTCTTGAAAGAGACTGAATCAAATGATAATTTCTACAGTAAAATTTCAATTTTATTTTAAAAGAAAATCAGTTAAAGAATCTTCTTTAATAGAAATAAACATTGTATTCCATTATCTGTCATAGTCAATACTATAAACGGGTTTCTTTGCAACAATTTTAGTAATGTTAATCTTCAACATGAAAAATGCAAATAGTGCTATAGGAAAAAAACAAAGAGTCTATGAAATTTACTCAAGTTGGAATGAAATATCCAAAACAGGGTTAAGAACAAGATTTAAATCACTTTCTAAAAACCATAAACAATGAGCTACAGAGAAATGAAAGTTAAATTCATTTTTATTAAGTAGCTTATTTGTGACATAAATGTGTTATTTTGACCTTTGAATGAAAAAGGAAAAACCTGCAAGTTTTAATATAGCAATGGGACAAAAAGTAATATTCTCTTTCTATATAATGATGCCTTTACTTTTTATGCGTACTTTAATTCATTTGATATGATTTACTTAGAAGTTCCCCTATCCCACTTACAAGAAAAAACAAATATGCCTCTCCCCAACCAAATGATTACTTTTCTAAACTCCATTTATAGTCAAAATTATGTATTTCAGAATTTTAGAAGCTGAGCCTACAGATGATTAAAAACAACAAAAATTCTAAGCCACTTACTGATTAGTTTAAATCGCAAATATCTGCTTTGTCTTGTACAGTGAGCTCTCCAATACCTGCTCACTGAGAGGCTTACTTTACTGAACCAACTGCTTTTTAAAAATTAAGTGGACACAAGTATCTAGACAACGTGCAAACAGCACAAGGCTAACACATTTAAGGACTGGTCATTCTGAAAGTGTCAGTGCTTTAAAAATGAACCTTTGTGAGAGTTTTCATGTTTTTAGGCAATCTTAACCTATTTCTTTATTCTTTTAGCAATTTCATAGTTTCAAGATTTCTACCATTTGGTTTCACAAATGATCAAGGGAAAATACTGTGAGCAGCCTCCTTACCTCAACATCGATACTTTCATTTCTTTGAAATTCTTGAATAGAGAGATTATCTGGAGGTATGCTAAAAAAAAAAAAAAAAGATTTTTAAAGGTAAAAGACAATTTCAAATACAACTGGAAACACAAATAGAAAACAGATAAGCAGTAATCAAATGACAAATATATGTGAATAATATAGTAACATACATATTTATTTACCCAGGTTGAGCATCAGCACTTATTTTAAAATAAGTGATAATGGAGTTTTAAAGTATCTTATGACAAATACAGAGAATAGCATACAAGCTAAAAGTTGAAAAGTTCATTCTTTCTAATCTCAATTGATAAATAAAATCAGAAAATTATTCAATTGTGCACAGGTTGAGTATTCTGATCTCAGAAACCAAATTAATGGTTAATTTACAGCTTGTATCCTTACTAGACACTTGAAGCTTTTGAAAAAGTACTGGTTGAGCTTTAAAAAACTCTGAGCTTTAAAAGGCCTCCCTGGTGGCGTAGCGGTTAAAGACAACACTATCAAGCTATCGCCAGCCACTGCAGCACGAGTTTGATCCCCGGCCAGGGAGCTACCCACACGGCACAGCAGACCTCTCCTGTCTCCCCGTTGCTCCCCTCAGCAGTGGATTTTGGTAGATCTGTCTGTTCTGTTCCCCACTCTGTCTCTAGTGAATCTTTTCACCGCGCATCTCTGGCCTATACCCAGTTCTTGTATGCATAAATAAATAAAAATAAATCTTAAAAAAAAAACACCAACTCTGATGATTAACAGAAATTACCTATTTATATTACTGGATAAAGAAGATATGGCATATACACAATGAAATAGTTCTCAGCTAAGTAAACAACAGTGAAATCTTGTCATTTGCAACAACATGGGTGGAAATGGGGGCAATGCCAAGTGAAGTCAGTCAGAAGGATAAAGGTAAGTACCAGCTGGTGTCTCTCACATGGCATATAAAGAAACAAAGCAAAGGAACAGAAAAAGCAAAACCAAAGACATCCTGGATTCTGACTGCAGAACTGAAGGTAAGAGCGCGGGAGGCAGGGGCGGGGTGAAGAGTGCATGGTGTCTAGTGAACTTTGGCGAAGGGCTACTGGTGCTCTGGAGATTGGCATGATGTGAAAACATACATTTGAAGAGAGATGAATTTGTACTCCTAAAACATACAGGTTGTAAGCCACTGTTACCTCAATAAACATAATAAAGAATAAACATGTAGAGTGACGTAAACCAATGTTCCCTCAATCAACACATTCGACTAAAAAGAGAAAAAAAGTAAAGTAAAACAAAATTTTGGTTTAGAATATGACTTTCAAGGGATGTCACTTTCTCTTAAGGGAAGGAAATAATTATAATGTGTACAATAATAACAGCAGCAAACATTTTATAAGCACTTACACGTCAGGGACAATTCTTTCATTTAAGTGATTTACTCTTCACAACAACCCTGTGAGTTTTAGGTATCATTATCACTTACACTATTGAGCAGATGAGGAAAATGAGTCTAAAATACCAGAGTTACACAGCAGTACAGTTGGGATTTAAATCCAGATACTCTGACTTCTGAGTCATGTTCTTACCCACTATGCTAGCCTCTTAAACAGAGTATGTGTTTCAATATATTCAAATCTTCAACGTAAGTAGCGCCTCGGTCAGGGAATGACAGTAATGAAATTATACTATAACCGTTGGTACCAATGATGTATTCCTATGGTAACCTAGATTCCTGTCTTACAATCAAAAGCACTGTAAACAGCATTAATCTCCACTGCACAGATGCATATCTAGTGAATAAAGGCCTAATCCAGCTGTGCTTTATATATAATATAGTAATTTTAATAATCAATTAACCCTGTGGATGACTAAAGGTCAATACTGTTTCTTCAGCAACTACAGGTATAATGTAAATTTCTTAAAAGAATGTCTTAATTGTAAAAATGAATAAGCTGACCTTTTAGTAAAGAGAAAGTCTTCAAAAGTGTTCGCTAGTTCTGGCCACATACTGTCAAATTTTCCAGAGGAAGCATGCTGCCGGGCAACGGGTAGGCCGATGGACAGGACTTTGAGGAGAGAAGATACTGCTAGTTTCCATGTGCTTTCAGAAGGGCAAGAATACTTCAAACTGAGAGGAACCCTAAGGGTCTTTGAAAATAAAGAAAGTTTAGGGTAAATATTAAAACATATAAACACAATTTTAATTAATCACAACACAGAAGAAAACAGCATATGCATTTTCATATAAAAACAATTATTATTTTATAGAGAGACCAATTCTCAAACATGGCTCTTAAATCCTGATGTCTAGAAAGATACAGATTAAAATTGTTTCCAGGCCTCACTGGTGGCGCAACCATTTAAGAAGCAACCTATGAAGCTGTCTGCAACCTCTGCAGCATGAGTTTGATTCCCGGCTGGCAGGGAACTATCCACATGGCGCAGCAGACCTCTCCTGTCTCCCTGCTGCTCCCCTCAGCAGTATATTTCAGTCTGCCTGTTCTGCTCCCCACTCTGTGGGGGGTGAATCCTCTCATCCCCACACCTCTGGCCTGTACCCCGGTTCTTGTATGCATAAATAAATAAATCTTTAAAAAAAAACTTTCCATTTTATAAACAATAACCCTGAATAAACTGCAATCTTTTTGGACTGTTTCATATTATAAATGATAGGGAGGGATGTCACCTAAAAAGTCAGGAACAAGAGTAGGAAAAAACCCACAGAATCTACAGAAACAAAATCCAAACCCCCAAACCAAGCTCCCAGATATAGAGAACAGACTACTGGTTACCGAGGTGGGGGTGAGGGGGAGGAAAGGCAAAATTTCTAGATATATAAGTAAGTCGTGGGAATATAAAACGTAGCACGGTGGCCATTAGTGTTAATATTAGTGAGAGTAGGTCTTAAAAGTTCTCACCACAATGAAAAAATTTGCAAGTAGGTACAGTGACAGATGTTAACTAAACTGTGATCTCTCTGCAATGTGTACAAATACTAAATCATCATGTTGTATGTAGGAAGCTAGTCCATCATTTCTCAATAAAAAAAGTTGAAAAAAATAAACAAAATCCCCAAGAGTGGCCAACAAGGCAGATTGACTTTTTTTAAATTAATTTTTTATCTTATATAATTCTTACATCATTTTTCATTTTTGCACAATGTATGCATTTTCATTTTGGCTATATTCCCCAAACAACTGCACCCCCCTCCCCTTATTTTGATCCTAGTCCTTCCTCTCCCCTCCCCACCACCCCTCTACCCCAGTAGTGTGTCTCTGGTTTATAGTTGCTTGTTGATTTTGATTTTTACTTTGTATTAATTAGTCTTTTTCCTGATCCCTTATTTAGGTTTTCTAAATTCCTGCTATGAGTGAGACCATCTGGTATTTTTCAGATTGACTTTTGCTACTAAAGAAACAACATCAATAACAATTATAAATGAAACACACAAGAAATAGACTTTGGAGAAATAGAACACAGTCCACAAACGAATTTTTAAAAATGACTGTCAGTGCACTGTGGCTTAAACAAAAGACACTCTGAGTGGACTGTGAATTCTTACTAAATGCTGTCCTTCAACAGACTCTGAGAAGTACTATTGTAAGGAATGAGTTCTTCATCCTTTTCTGTGGCAAAACTTAAGAACCGTAAAAATTCCAAAGCGTACTTACTGTAAAATATTTGTCATTAAAAAATCTTCTCATGGGCCTCCTTGGTGGCACAGAGGTTAAGTCTCAGCACTATCACCCGCCAAGGCCTGAGTTCAATCCCTGGCCAGGGAGCTACCCACATGGCACAGCAGACCTTTCCTGTCTCCCTGCCGCTCTCCTCACCTGTGGATTTCAGTAGATCTGTCTGTTCTGCTCCCCACTCTGTCTCTGGTGAGTCCTCTCACCCTCTACACCTCTGGCCTATACCTCAGTTGTTATATGCATAAATAAATAAATAAATAAATCTTAAAAAAAAAAAACAAACTTCTCATACCTTAGAAAAATGACTTCTTAAACACCATCCATATATTGGAGAAAGTGATAATCACAATATAAACTATATTTTTCCATTTATCTCAATATAATGATAATATGAAATTACCTAAGGAGTAATTTCAATAACAATGTCATTAACAGACAAAATTGTAGAAATTAAAAGATACCTTAATAATATTCTGGAGTACCTTCTCATTCACCACTGCTTTGTGACAGGCTGTTTTTTGGTATAAATCCACAACTACTTCTAAAGATCTTTCAGCAAATGGTACGTAATTCAGGGCTACCCATTCCGCCTAGAAAGTAATATTTTCACATGGAGTTAAAAATAAATGAGAATAAAATTATATTGTTTTTAAAGAGAAAGGTTGCCTTAAAGTCCAGGCCTTGGTCTTATCATATTACATTACATGCAAAGTTTTCAAAGTGATTGTACTTCATGAAAGAATACTTTTCAGCCAGGCAAAAATTAAAGCTATCGGATAAAGCACATAGAGAATTCTATCAAGAACTGAGAAATATGTACTTTGTTTCCAATAGGTTAGGACAATTTTAGGAAATTTAACTCACCGGTGCAAATAGTTGGATCTATTGTGATTCCATTGTGTTGCAAGACAAATAGAATGAGAAAAGTTAATACACATTAAAACTACTTCTTGGACCATGTAAAATTATAATTTTAATGTTGAGTGAACAAAATCAGCATGTGCATGCACTCAGAAATTTATTTTTACCCTAAGCCAAACAAATTAAAATTTGCCAACTACGGCTACACAATTCTTTTCTAGAAAATCCAACTAAATTTCACACCAGTAGTAGATAACTTGTTTAGTACATGTAGATTTCTTCATTTTAACATCGCAGGTATTTATTTTAGATAAGATTACATTTAGGGATTTAAAGGCCATTTTGTAGTGGGTTGGGGCAGTCAAGAAAGAGACTGATGAAAGATGCACTACAGATTAACACAAAAGGCCAAACTATCTGGAAAACCACTGAGAAAGAAAAATCATAAAAAATAAGAAACACAGAAAAGGCTTTCCAAATAGTATTTCTTTTCAGCTTTAAGTGTTAACATTTTAGTATGAAAGCATATTTGTGAGTGAAACATTACTGAGGTAAAGCCCACCATAAGTGGGATTTACTGTATTTATAAGTCTTGAAATTTTAAATACAATTTATAGTAAATTACCTGATTATATTTTGCATTTGCAATGTGCTTTGTTTCCAACTGTCCATATTGTGGAGGTTTACAGGAAAATTCTACAAATGCCAGTAACTGGTCAAATATAGCTGGATACATTATCTGCATGTTTTCTGGACCTACACAGATGGCCTAAAAAAAACGAAATATGAACAATAAAATAATGCATCATCTGAACTCAATTATGTTTTATAGTGTATATGCATTTGTTTAAAGACAGCCCTGTTTTACATCTTATACAGTATTTCATAAGCTTTGAAGGACACTTAAGGTATTTTAAATTATTATTGAACAAAATGTCAGTGTAAATGTGTTAATCAGATAAAAACTGTTTCTCCATACAAAGTGTCGTGACACAGAGACTGGAAAATGGGCAAGCATTGAAAGAAAAGCCCCCGACAGTCCTGAGTTTCTACAGTCTGCTCATTTGTTCAGAATACAGCCATCACATCACTAAGATTGCCTTGCTGGTCAAGTTGTTACTGACTTCTATTTAAGTGATGATTTCAATTCACTGAAATGACATTTGATTCCTGTATCATTCCTGGTCCTCTGGCTTTAACAAATAATCATGAGCATTACAGTTGGGAAAATAAGTCAGACATGGAAACTTATTACTAAAAGAAATGTATATATTATTTCATTTCATCATACATTATGTAGAATATATACTGATTTTAATAGGGCAGTGAATTTTTAATGTCCAATATATCTGTATCTAGACTTGAATTAAATAAGAAAATGAAAATATTTTAATAGAAATTTACAATTTGATAAAATGTGTGTCATTATATCATAGATTTTAACTACTTCAAATGTGTTGAAAGTACTTAAATTTTATGTTATGATTTTTCCAGCCACAAATATGCTTTTGCCTCATATCATTCATCTTTTCCTGTTTTATGTTATTTTTATCTCCACGGAATAATATTTAATGATCCGACTTATGGAGTGCCTCAAATATATTTGTGCTTTACAAAAAAAAAAAGGCATGATCCCTTTACACTTGAGGTACCCTCAAAATACTAAATTGAAAGTCAAAGCATTTCAAATTCTTAAGGAATTTCTTTTAAAATATGTGCAATATCAATATTTTATGTAATCTATGGCTTTTTGACCTATAAGTTACTTTCCCATCAGAGAAAAGTATATATCTGAAATTTTAGATAAAAGTGTCTTGCAATACAAAGTAGATAACCAAAGTGCTGCCCATATCTAAGTTACAGCATCTTACAACTACAGTTAAAAAAGCAGAATAAAGATTTCTGACATCATCTCTCAATTTTTTTTTTATTTTTCTCAGAAATAATGAATGGAGAGGGCCTCCCCGGTGGCGCAGCGGTTGAGCGCTGGGTTGCGAAGCTGCCTGCGGCCTCTGCCGCACCGGTTCGATCCCCGGCTGCTCCCCGGCCACCGGAGGAGGGTCCCACATGGCGTGCAGACCTCTCCTGCCACCCACTGCTCCCCTCAGCAGTGTACTTCAGTCCTTCTGCCTGCTCTGCTCCCTGCTCTGGCTCTGGTGAATTCTCTCACCCTCCCGCACTTCTGACTGTACCCAGTGCATGTATAAACAAACAAACAAACAAACAAACAAATAAATAAAAAACATGCCTCTATTTAAAAAAAAATAATAATAATAATGAATGGAGAGCTGGAATGATAGAGAGCATTAAAAAATTCTCGCTGCTGATTGCTTCTAATAGTTTCACGTTCTTCTTTATTAACATCTTGCTCAGTCTTAACTCTCAGAAGTAAGCAAGAAGCAATTACTTTAGAAAAGAGATAGTTATCCTAAGTGGATTCTTTTATTTTCGACAACTAAAGGGAAAAAAAAAAAAAGAATAACCTGTGGGGATGCCTCAGAGAGCTAGGCATCACAATTACTCGCAATATCTTAGCCCCATCTGAAGTTTGTGATTAAAAAAACACTGCAGTGTGAATCTGATAACAAATCTCAGTCGTGAGGCCTCTGTGGAGAACCTGATGGGGAAGACAGTAGCAGCTAACATTTATTGATGTTTTAGTGTGCCAGCTGCACTAAATGCCTTATAAATATTATCTTCTTTATGAGGAAAATATATAATTGATTAATTCAGTTTATAGATGAGGAAGCTGAGGTACAGAGGTTGAGAAACTGGCCCCTATATAAGGTAGAAGACACCACTGCACAGGCACATTTACACACAGTGTGATGGTGTCTCCTGCAGAAGGCTCCAGCAGCCTTGAGGATGAAGGCAGGTGATGACATCCAGTCATGTGACATTAGAAGTTTAGCAATAAATAAGATTCAGTCTCCTGATGCCAGAACTTAGGGAAGGCAAATAATCAAATTGTCAGACTCCCCATGTATGCCAAAATATCTTGGTCAAAAATAAAAAATCAATTAGCATAACTAAGTCACAGTGCATAGAAACTTGTGATTTAAGAACCAAATGAGGACTGAGTCTGAAGCCCTAAACAATATAAGGTTAAAAATGAAATGAGAAATGAGTATTTCCTTTAGGAAGGAAAATAGCTTTTAATGAATAAAACCCTTTTGGTGGATAGCTTATTGGTGTAAGGATGAATTTCCATAGCAAGTAAATTTTGCTTGTGAAAAGTTTTCTGACCTATGTAAGGGGAAAATATAAAAACACTCTTACAGATAATTAAATATATTGATTTTTCAGCATTAGGAAATGTTAAGGACTCCAAATGCTTGAATCACATACAAATGTTCTCACATCATTTAGAAAATTAATCATGTCTTAAAGATCAGATGAAAATTATGATGCAAAATCATAAATTATGATGCAATTTTTATCAATTGATATAAATGAATATATAACAAAGCTCCTAAGTTTCAGACTGAAGGTATGTGATATTTACAAAACCATTAAAGAATGGGGGATTCCCTGGTGGAGCAGGGGTTCAAGCCTCAACACTATGAAGCTGTCCACAGCCACTGCAGCACAAGTTCGATCCCCGGCCAGGGAGCTACCCCCATGGCAAAGCAGACCTCTCCTGTCTCCCTGCTGCTCCCCTCAGCAGTGGATTTCAGTGGATGCGCCTGTTCTGCTCCCCATTCTGGCTGGTGAATCCTCTCACCCTTCCACACCTCTGGCCTGCACCCCAGTTCTTGTATGCATAAATAAAAATAAATCTTGAAAAACAACAACACAGAAACAAACAAACAAAAAAATTAACAACACAGAACAAATCCCTGATATTGGGAATGAATAGTTCTACTTGTTCTCTCATTGCTAATGCAGATTTTAAAAAATGAAATTACATACTTTTTTTTCTTTGAAAAGAATTTTTGGAGTTTGTTGTTTTTATCCTCTACACACTTAAAAAAGCTTAAATCAAACATCTGAGAGTCCCAGATTTTGGGCAACCTCCACATCTGTGCTTTTCGTTTTTGAAGAATAACTTCCCCTTTCTTTCAGGGCAGCGCCCACGAGACTTGCGAGCAGGTCAGCTGCAGTAGCGGAAGCAGTGATTGAGACTTCTTTTTCCCCAGTGCACATAACAGCAGCTATTTTGATTTCAATTTCAGAGTTGATATCCCTACAATAATTTTTTAATGCCATATTTCCTTAAATTTTAATTTTCTACATAACTGCTTCCCAACACAATGCAACTACAATCAGAAGACCAAAGAACGACTATCAGCTCCACGTGCTCCACAGGCCGCCAAGAAGCATTACGCTGCGACAGAAAGCACATTCCTACTCAACGTTCCCATCATTCCAGGTGGAGGTAATGCCATCACGAAGTAGAGAACAAGATTCACATAACACAAATGGTCACCAATAACACACATGCACGCAGACACTAGCTTTATTCTGATTTTGTCAAACTATCAGAACTGCTTCGTTGCAACTGCTGGTTCTCCAGTTGGCAATTTTTTTTGTTTGCTTGTTGGGAACTGTGTTAACAACTACCTGGAGAGTTTAAAAAAATTTGATTTTGATCTGGTCTTGCTTGTTAGTTGAGCTTTGCCCAGTGATTTTTGGAGTCTCTTTTAATAATTTTTTGCAGTAACAAAACACACAGGTAAACTATATATTTTTAAAATTTCTGTGAGAAAAAATACTTCATCGATTTCTTATTTCTTCAAGTACAGGCTTCCAACAACTGCAGAACTAAATTAAAGTACACATAAAAAAATATATATATACCCCCATTGTTTATTAATTTTCTCACTATAGAAGTACTTAACTAAAGTTGTTATTCTAAAAATTATATCCTCTTGTGAAGAGTCATGAACAAACCAAAAATGCTGGCAAATAGAAACGAGGTTGTAGGCAGTTTTCTTAGAGAGTATCAAAACAAACATGAATTACTTTTTAAAATATATCAGAAAATTGTGTTTTTAAAATAACTAGTCACAATTCTGAATTTATTCCGAAGGATACAAACACAACAATCTTGATGATAGAATTTATCCCCCCCCCAAAAAAAATTGCAAACATAGAAGATACCAGGGCATCTCATACAATATTGTTTAGACAACCAGTAAAATTCTATTACCTTTTGGAGAACATCTAGAGCTGTGAGCACGGCTTCCTGTAAGCTTGTGAGGACTGCTTCAGTGTAGGACGGGAGGATGAAAGGGGACGCATCTGAGCTTATCGGGACTGAAACAGCGCTGTGCAGGGTAGCTCCCAACTTCTGCAAGTCGTCCATGCTGAAACCAGTTTTTATGTGTTGATAAAGAGCTGGAAATATCTGAATCAAAGCTGTAAGAAAAGGCTGGCTGGGAATGAAAGTTAGTTTATCAAAAGTGACAGGAGGCTTGGTGCTCTCAGACCCGATCCGGTACCACGTGTCCCAGGCAGCCCACCAGAGGTTCTGATCCTCCAGCTCATCAGCAACGACAGGGGGCTCGGAGCTGTTACACCTCCCGAGTCTCTCTCCAACGGAGTCTGTCCTTACGAAAGGCCTGCTCAGGCCAGGCCCTGCCATGGGCCCGATGAGGACAGGCGCAGGCACATTGACTGCAGGCGGAGTCTCAGGCTTGTCTGAGTCTCTGACAGGAGACACAATCTGTAAGATTTCTTGGAAACTTTTCAGCGCAGCCAGAGAAACCTCATTGTTCTTGCTGAGCGCCGCTGACTGCGTGTGATCGAGAAGGACGTCCCATGCTTGGGAAAAGCCTCCTGTGTGAGGAAGAGAAAACATCAATCACCACAAAAGTAATCAACGATGTTCTTGCTATTAGACATTGAAGTCTTTTTGGCTTATTTTTTCACTTAAATTCCTACAGAACTAGAAGAAAATATATACTTAGGTACTAAAGTACTATCAATGTAAATTAAAATCATTACAATTCAAAAATCCAGTAAAGAATCCTTTTCAGATATAGGGACCCAGAAGTCGCTAGGATATAGCAGAAAATGTTCTGGCCTTAAAACTGAGAAAAATACCATATGATTTCACTCATATGCAGAGAGAGAAATAGAACAAAGGAACAGACAAAACTATCCGTATGAATTTTAAATAATCTTTCCATATTTCCCACATCATTTAACAGGAATAACTTGTAAACCAAATAAAAAAAAAAAAAGTACATATACCTAAAGGTTGCAATAAATATCTTCTAGTGTTGAAGATTCTTGCTACTCCAGCCAAGGTTAAAACCCACGTCTCAGCCCACTGTTTCTCTGCTGTGTCCCGTGAATGATGAATGAGGATATTGCCACCTCCAGACTCAATCTTTTCTTTGTCTGCAGTAGTAGAAGACTCTCGAACTCGGTCCAGCAGATGAAAGAGAACCTGAAGATTTAGAAAAAGGCATATAAGAGGTATTGATAACATAGGTTAAGTAACAGCACAGGATTTAGGGATGAAAGATTTTACCTAACAGCCTGATCAATCCCCGTGTATTAAAAGAAACTGAACAGGGCCTCCCTTGGTGGCGCAGCGGTTGAGCGCTGGGTTGCGAAGCTGCCCGCAGCCTCTGCAGCGCCAGTTCGATCCCTGGCTGCTCCCCGGCCACGGGAGGAGGGTCCCACATGGCGCGCAGACCTCTCCTGCCGCCCGCTGCTCCCCTCAGCAGTGTACTTCGGTCCTTCTGCCTGCTCTGCTCCCCGCTCTGGCTCTGGTGAATTCTCTCACCCTCCCATGCTTCTGACTGTACCCAGTGCTTGTATAAATAAATAAATAATAAATAAATAAATAAATAAATATTTAAAAAGAAAAAAAAAAAAGAAACTGAACAACAGAAGTATTCTTAAATTCTTAAGTTTGTCCTTAAGATCATGGAATAAAAAAATCAAAATATATTGGATAGACTATTCTCTAAGGCTTGTTGAGGTATCAGTGGAGCATCTACAGGGTGAAGAACAAGAAAGGAATGAAGCTTAGAGAGAAGTCAGGCAAAAGAGATGATTCCAGGGGACAGCTGGATAGAGGTTACAACTGAAGCTTCAGGACTACCTGAGAAGGCTTGGAAAAAAACCTGTAGGAAGCAGCTGGGACTCAGGAGAATGAATAGGAGCAAAAATAAGTAAAAACCGAATAGCAAAACAGAAGCACGCTGTGAAATCAAGGGAAGAGAAACTCCAAGGAGACAATAATCAACAGTTAAATGTTAACCAAAAAACCAAGTAGGTTAAGGACTGAACACAGGGCAAAAAACCCACCTATAAACTAAGTACAAATTCTGTGGTTCTCAAAATATGGTCTGAGAACCAGTAGCATCACCTAGGAGTTTTGCACGCATACAATTTCTCAGCCCCCACACCACGAGGGAGGGTGTGGGGTCATAAACACTGGGGGCAGGTGATTGTGGCTCAGCAATCTGTGCTTTCACAAGGCTTCCATGTGAGTCTGTTACATGTTAAGCTTTAAAAGACTCTGAAGTAGAATAATGCAGAAATTGAGTTACAAGGGATAAGGGAATGCAGGGAAGGTGAGGGGGAAAAACTGCTGAGAATTAGACACCAAGATTAACAATGAAGCTCTCTGAAAGGAAAACAAGCAGCAGAGAAAATGAGGGTTTTTTTTTTTTTTAAATAATAAAGGCGACTTATGCATGTCTGGGATCTGAAAAGGAGGCTGGGGATGGAGCTGGAACACTAAACAGATGAGGTAGCTGGGTTTTAAATTGTTTTTATAGAAAATATACATTAATTTTTAAAGAAGACGTTTTGGAGTCCACTATGCTGCCACTGTCAAACTTCACTTACTTCAAAAATTCACAAAAGCAGTGAAAGGATTATAAGCAGGATTTTATTAAAATCAAACAGATGGACAAAAAAGGAGAGCCCTTTAGTAAAGACGGTATAAGGTATTAACTTTTATAAGAAAGTTTGAACAAGAGGATGAAAGAAAAATAAAGGAAAAAAGAAAAAATAAAATTGTATATTTAATGAACAAACATGTAGAATTTATAGATTGGAGATTGCTTTGTTCTGGTGAGTCTGCAAGCAAAGTCCACTGCTGTTGATATTTTTTTATTTGTAAAATTCTCACTTGATTATATGGTATGTGAATTCTGTGTGGTGGGGAAGGGAAGGACAGAGGCAGAAATCAGACAGGTAAGAAGAGATAATACTTTAATATTTAATTTGTTCTGTGTGAAATATAATTTAATATGACAAAGTTAATGTTTTCTGTCTAGTCAAATGTACAAAAAGACGGAAATAAATCCTTACAAAGATTACTTTGGTACGCTGGGCCCAAAAGCACAGAAGCACATGGCGCTAACAGCTGCCCCACAGTACCTTCCAGATGACAGTGTGCCACGTCGAGTGCTGCAGCAGGGTGCCATGGGCGCCCACCGTGGAGAACAGGGTCTGCCCAGCGCTCTTCCGCACAGCGGGGCGAGGATCCACGCACAGCTCGCCCAGCTTTGCATAGAGACAGAGCCACAAGCAGTCAAACGGCGGCGCGGGGTGGAACGGCCGGTTTAAAGCCACTCCTTTTTCTTCTGCCTGCTTCTGCTGTGCTGCCTCTTCCTTATTTAATTCTTTTTCAATAGTTTCCCCTCTTTGGAAAAAATAATCTGAAATATTCCACTAAAAAGCAAAAGTAGAAAATGATTATTTATAGATTTTATTTTAAATGTATAAATCAAAATGCAACATATGGTGGTGGTGCCTTTCAGAATAAATAAAAAACTCCTTCGGAAATCCCTTTTCTAATAAATGCATTAGAATGCAACATCTCTTGCTCTGTAAACTATCCTCATCTGATCAGAGAATCTGGAGGAAAATCTTATGCTAACAGAATTAAAAAAAATTTTATCATGAAAAATCTGAAGAACATAAAGATAATCATTTTAAAAATAGGTAAATAAATTGATATACCTTCCATCTACAAATATCAGCTATCAACATTTTCTGATTAACTTCAAGTTTAAATTTTATATTCATTACTAGATAAAGGCATTAAAAAAAACCCAAGATACCACCATCACCCCACAAAATTAATTCCTTTTCATCATTTAGTAGTATTTTACAATTTCATACAAGAAAGAGCAATTACTATCTCCAAACATATTTATGACATCATTTCCAATCACAACAAGGTATGTGAACTTGAGAATTATGCCAATTTAAAAATGTAGAGAATCCAACATCCAAGAACATAAATGTAGAATAAAGGAGGTGAAATCTAGCAACAATTTAAGCCACACCAAATTAACCAACTACTCTTTGGGGGCAATTATATATACAATATGCTTTCCCATAATTACATTTTAATAATAAGCTATTAGTTTATCTAGCTTATGTGAAAAATTAAAATTTGACTTCAAAAACTTTTGATAATGTATACACTTAAAAGAGTCTATATAATTGTCTTTAAATAAATGTATAATGGGAACAACTCTTTCCATTTTCTTCATGCAGATTTATATTACCCCAACTTAGATTTCATTATCTCCACATTCAAGACGAGTGAGACGAGGCTCAAGACGCAGACAAAATGCAAACACGCGCGCATCTTTTCCAGCGGGGCCTCCTGCCAGCACACGCTGTCTCTTCATAGTGACACCATGTGGACATGGTAAAGTCTCTCATGAAAGCTTACTTATTAAATAAGTCATACATGAAAATGTTGCTACCAAAGTAATATTGAAATCGATTAACCATCACACACAAAGTCAAGTATTTCCCTTGTATGTACTATTATTTGTTTACTAAATTCTTTCATGACAAACCTTGTCCAAAGCCAAATCTGAACCTCAATATCACAATTATTCCAACTACTCTGTTATTAATAATTATCTCCTAAGTGATGTTCTTTAATCCTTCATGCAAGATAAGTTTGTTACTTATTTAAAACTTTAAAGCCAAAGGCCAAAGAAAGTATATTTGTTTAGCATTCATTCTCGCTATCTTAAGAGAAAGGCAATAAAACTTACCAATAAGCCTATGGAAGTTAAACTAATATTAAGCTCCTGGTTGTGAAGTCCAAAGCTACCCGCAACGTCGACAACTATCTGGAGGCACATGCAAGGCATAGTTGGCAGAAAATCTGTAACAACCAACTGAAGACACTGGAATGCAGTTCTTATCAAAGATTCTCTGAAAACAGAAATTTAAACCCTTGCAATTAAAAGAACTATAAGTAAATATATATACCTTAATAGTCTGAGCTAAGCAAAATTTTATGATAGAATTTGAGCAAGAAAATCTTCCCTAATATCATCTACATTCACATATGTATAAAAAAAGATATAAAACAAATAAAAATACTCTCAGAGATATAAAATAAAAACAGTAAACTAGAAAAGGAAAAAAATATTAACATCATTATTATTTCTATTTGCATTTGCATCAACGAGACAAACCAACCTTCAGGCACTGAATGAAGAAGGGAAAGTAATTACAACTACATTTCTTCCCCATTGAGCCCTGTTCTCTAACACCGTGTCTAGCACGTGTGAACACACACACTTCACAACTGAGTGCAACTGAGCTCCTCATTCTTTCATACTATGTCTTATTTAAAGTTCTGCAAGTGCCTTTAGAGACATAACAGATGGACCTTGAGGAGAATATGTTTAGTGAAACAGGTCAGAGAATGAGAGACAGACACAAGATGATTTCAACTTACCTGTACAATACAAATAACCAAAAATTGCAACAAAATAGGCCACCATCTAGCCTTAGACATAGTGACAATGTTACTGGCCACTAGAGAAGTGCGGGGAGTGGGGGGGTGGGGGGGAGGCGGGAGAGAAGCAGTCAGGCAGGGCACCAGTGGCTTGGGGGAGGATGGTGAAGTATATGCACATATGCAGCAGTAAAAAACCCCAAAATTATAATAATCTAAAAATAATGATAAAATAAAATCTGTAAAAATTACTATTTTGAACTTCAAGTGAAAAGAATAAGAAGTATTTGTTTTTAGAGAGAAGTTTTGGTGGTGAAAGACAATGAAAATGAATTATAATAGCTAACACCTACTAAATGCTTACTATACCATGTACTTTCTAAGTGTTTTACTAGCATTAATTTTATCCTTACAATGTCCTATTTTACAGTTGCACAAGGAGGAACTGCAGCTTGATCTAAACTATGACTAATCTCTTTCCACTTTAATCACCTCAATATTTTGTAATACTTAAGATACATTATTAGCACAAATGAATATGAAACAATACCTTTTCATAATAATCTTAAGGATCTTAAATCATATAAAACTCCTAAGTCAGTCATCAAGATGACAGTATAAGTCCTGCTGTAGAATTCCAAACAAATACATCTAAATGTCTGCTAAATATCTCCACGTCAATGGCCTACCTTAAACTAAACAGGTCTGCACATTTTGTCCCATTTGCTCTTCGCTCCACATTCCCCTGTCTAATGATACTGCCTCTCAGCTAGATGCTTCTCCTGGCATCATTCCTGACTCTTTTTCCTAAGTCTTCCTTACCCCGTACAGTCCACCTGCTGAACAGCTCACACCCTCTCACCACTCCAGAGAGCCCTGCAGACTCATTTCCCTTTCTCCCCTCCACGCTGCTGTCATGACAACAGACCTCAAGTGCCTATCTGATTGCATCATTCCTCTTTTTAGTATCATAAAATGGATCCCAAATGTTTTGATGATCAATCCAATAGCTTTATATTCTTATATAAATGTTAAATAAATAACAATTTTCTATTCTTTCAAAACACAAGTGAACTCTAAAAATTCCCTCTACCCCACACAGGGGGGCATGGGACAGGGCTGGGGGGAGGTGGGTTATAAGAACTATACCAGATCTTAGACTTAGGCAGAAAGGGCATATTAAAAAAAATTATCACTACCGCAGTATTTTAGGTGGGTTTCCCTTGATTCTTTCTCATTTCTTGAATGTGAATTTTAAACACCTACCCTTGATCATTTCTGATTGCTCCCATGACTCCAAGCACTAACGGCCACCCAGGCCCAAGACTGTCTCCCTGACTCTGCAGAATCTGCAGCACACACTCTAATTGCTTGAGTCGGATATCTGGATGGTTAATACTGGACATCTCCTTTAATGGGTTCAATAAAAGCAACTGCAGCCTCTGCAAAGGGAAAAACAGTCATTAGGAAGAGATGCCCCCAAAGAAGGAAAGGCTCTTTTGTTGCTTCTTAAGTTTAAATTTACCTCTACTCAGACCGTATTGTAGACAGAATTTTTTTTAAATAAATGCTAAATATGGTTTCTTTGGCAGTAATCATCAGAAGTTTATTGTCATGTATTTAACTGCTTAATGAGGGAAATGAAAAACAATCTTAAAGATGTTAGATTTCAGGATAAATGAAGAGTGACCTATGTTAGAAGTTATTAATTACAGACCCATAAAGAACTGAATCTCACTAAGAAAATACACCTACATATACTAGCTAAGTTTGGAGAGAGGAAAACAATTCTCAGTTTCTACAATTATCTTCCATTTACTTTATTAATGTATAGTACATATGTTTCAATATAAAATTCCCAATAATCTTAGTTTCAGTATCATTTCCAAGAAGGCGTTAGTTTTTTTTAAATTATATGTCTACTAATGAACAAATATGATAAATATGATAAAAACCATCTAGAAGACAAAAAAAAAAAAAAGCACTGCATTTCATTTCTTCTAGCACCTCAAAGAACTTGTTTCATTTTAAAACTTGTTCCCTCCAAGGATTTATTTGTTTCATTGATTGACCAAACATTTATTAAGCTCTCACTATGTACCACATAATAAACTGAACATTGAAGATACGGACAAGGGTTTTCTTTTTAAAGAACTTAAAAATTATAGAAGGGGGCCTCCCCGGTGGCGCAGCGGTTGAGCGCTGGGTTGCGAAGCTGCCCGCAGCCTCTGAGGCGCCGGTTCGATCCCCGGCTGCTCCCCGGCCACCAGAGGAGGGTCCCACATGGCGCGCAGACCTCTCCTGCGGCCCGCTGCTCCCCTCAGCAGTGTACTTCGGTCCTTCTGCCTGCCTGCTCTGCTCCCCACTCTGGCTCTGGTGAATTCTCTCACCCTCCCGCGCTTCTGACTGTACCCAGTGCATGTATAAACAAAAACAAACAAACAAACAAATAAATAAATAAACAAACAAACATGCCTCTATTAAAAAAAAAAAAAGATTTCTTAAAAAAAAAAAAAAAAAATTATAGAAGGAAAAATGTATGAAATCACTAAAATGCTAGCTCTATAAGTACACAGATTTTTTTTTTGTTTATTATTTTTTTTTCCAAGAGCTAAAACACTGCCAAGTACATAATATGTACTCAATAATTAGTTGTTGAGTAAACTTGCAGAATACAACTAAAATACAGTAAGATAATAAAGGGAATGGGAATGGTTGTTAAATGCTTATTCCTACTTAATCTTGAAACAATAAAACTTCAGGGACATGTTAAACACTGTAAGAAATACATGAATGATTATGGGAGTCAGGCAAAGGAGTCATGACACAAGTAAGCTCTTCAGTTATATAAAATAACTGAATTTATAATTATTTAAAACTGAGTTTATAATTATTTAAAACCAAAAATCTACTGTGCCAGTCTCTACTGTCACTTGATTTCTCTTCGTGCAATGGTAATGAGAGGAAGAAAATGAGAGACAGGTAAGGACCAAAGCAAAGGAGACTAATACACATGGCCCCAAATGAAGCTTTAACATTGCAATGAAGAGGAACCTTCTAGAATGGGAAACCATTCTATGCAACTTATTAACTTAACTCAGTGTCATTTATTTACCTGGTTCTGTGAAAGTGGAGGATCATGGTTAAATGTTAATCCTGCTTTAATAAGTGAGGTTAAAGCTTCTGCTCCCCATTCTCTCATTCGAGAGTTTGGGTGCTGGCACACCTAAAACATACACGTTGAACAAAAAATTAAGCATTTAATTTGTATACTTCAGTTACACATCAGACATCAATCTGAGAAAAAAAATATTAAGACATTACATTTTCTATTCTTTCACATTTCAAAAAACACATCAAACGCGCATCATGAGGGTTGAAGGGAAAATTACATCCAAAATGTATGTAAGCTTACCTTCTGAATAAGGAGCAAGAGGAAGCAATAGAGAGACAGAAGATAAAAGATGAAACTAAATAAGTCACAGAAAAGAATTCATAAAAGTAAATAATGCCAGAGTTAAAAAAAAGAAGCAAATTCATACTAAGATTCCTAATTAAGTCCATCCTCATAATCAAATCCTGTGTTAAAATTTTAAAAACTGGTTTTTTTTGCCACTTTATGAGAATTTCTATTAGAAATCTATATATATCCTTTAAGAACTCATAAATGTAATCCCAAGAAAATGGGTGGGGGAAAAGAAAAAGCAAAAGCTCACTAGATTTCATTAAAAATAACACTTTCTCTCATTAATAATGTAAAATGATCATGGTAACCTAAGCCTAAACTATTCATAAACATATATATACAAGCAGCTGATTATTATGAATCATCCCAAGCTGAACACAACAGAATATATAACTAGATAAAATTTCCTGGCACTACCTATAACCAGTGAAGTCAAGCAGGTATTTCTCCTTGAAGAAGAGCTCCCCATAAAGAAGTGGTGTTTACTACTAACTCTTAGCCCTGACTGTCCTGAAGTCTCAGAATTAGCTGAAATGGAGGTATCTGGAGACTGTATAATAAAGGCAAAGTGTCCCAAAACAACACCTGAAGTAGTCATCAGAGATTTCACAGATATATCCTATTATTAGCCCAAAAGGGCAACCTATTTCTTCACCAACAAATACTACAAAGATTCAGCCCTCAATAAAATATACAAATGAATAGGAAAAAAAGTTGAGTAGTATTTTTTATGGTTATCTCATTACCCAAACCATTAGTTCAATGTGTACATCTTATTCTTAACAAAAACGTAAATATTTAAAAAAGTTACCTCAAGCAGATGACCAGTTAGAGGTCTCCATAAAATCTCTATTCGATGCATGTTAACTAGACCGGTTTCTAACAATTTGGCAACAGCAAAAAGAGATGGTTCCTAGGGAGAAAACATACTGCATTTTAAAGCACATCAACTATGAATGAAACTAAAAATACTCTAAAGAGTATAACTATAATTTATAATCAATTAGTATAATGCTAGCAATAAATATAACAAAACCTCAGTTATTAGACATGTCTTTCTACTTACCCTCAAGAATCTAGAACAGTTCCTAATTGGAAAATATGGTCAAGAAGAGAATGAGTTAGTGGGGAAAGAATGAAATTCAAGTTATACTAGACACAAAGAATGGCTGGTTTTCTAACCAGAAGGAAAGAAGCATTCTGCTATGGGTACCCCTAAAATTAATGTTAAACCCTAACTCTCAGTATAATATTTGGCTATACAGTCCAAAGGAGGAAACTGAGGTTATATGAAGTCATAAAGTTGCAATCCTAATGTGACAGGATTAACATCCTTAGAATTCTGGAGACATCAGAGAGCTCGGGAGCTTGCTTTCAAGCACCCCCACCACGTGAGAAACAGAGAAAGCAGACATTTTTCAAGTCAAAAAGAGAATTCTCACTAGAAATGTCCATGCTGATATGCTTATCTCAAACCTCCAGTCTCTAGAAGTATGAGAAAATAAATTTCTGTGGTTGAGCAACCCAACCAATAGTATTTACTATGGCAGCCAAGCTAATATACATTTTTATTAATGAAGTCCTCAAATGTCTAGGTCTTACATATGAATGTCAGAAAAACTGAAACAGACAAGAGACCAGGGAAAAGAAGTATGAATCAAAGAATACGGCAGAAATCGGGATTGTCAGCTTAGACATCAATAGAAAAGTAGCAGAGACAGAAGACAAACTGGTCTCCTCAGTTGCTGGCATTTCAACAACCATAACTGGACTCAGTATATAAATAGGGATGTCTAAATTCACATAACTGGGGCCTCCCTGGTGGCACAGGCGGCTGAGCGCAGCACTGTGAAGCTGTCTACAGCCCCTGCAGCGTGGGTTTGATCCAGGCAGGCTGGCGAGAATCCCACATGGCAAAGCAGACCTCTCCTGTCTCGCCTGCTGCTCCCCTCAGCAATGTATTTCTTCAATCTGCCTGTTCTGTTCCTGCTCTGTCACTGGTGAATCCTCTCACCCTCCCGCACATCTGGCCTATACCCCAGTTCTTATATAAATTCACATAATTGGCCCATTAACAGTTTCAGTGATGACATCAATGGGCAACTATCACTAAACCAGTATTAAGAAATGTGGTAAAATATGCTCTTATATAACCAGGCACTAAGGAGTCTACACTATACTATTTACTTAAACTCATACCACCTTAATTGCCACTTAACCATGAACCAAGTAGTTTATAGGCTCCTTGAAAGCAGATATTTTATATCTCCTAGCAATGTCATGTACACAGTAAACATACTGTGTGTTGAGTGAAAACATAAATTTTCAAGCCATTACAATACAAACTTGCTCAGACAGATTTCATTAAGGTACTCTTAAATATAGGTTTGTTGAGAACTAATCTTAGATGTAGGATTACTGAAGAGTCAAGAAATGAATCACTTCATTATATTTTACATTATTTTAATTTGACTTGGGATAACTTATATAGTACATAATTTCAAACACCTGCATGTTTAAGTAATTCTCTAGCTATTTATCATACTATATGAAATTCTGCCCTTATTAGACCTTAATCTTTAATTAAGCTAATCAACCAAGATGACAAGCCACAGAACATAAAATTAAAATTAATAACTTGGCAGGCAACATAATTTTGAGTTGTATAGTTAGATGTTAAATAAGTCACAAGGTGCATTCTCTGCTTTTCAATCATGTTCTGGGTGTCTTCACTCATTTGCAAGTGGTCAAACTATATTTATTAACTTTAAAAGTAGAAAAAATTCCATACTAAATAAATCTTTTTTTTTTTTAAAGATTTATTTATTTATTTATACAAGCACTGGGCACAGTGAGAAGCACAGGAGGGTGAGAGAATCCACCAGAGCCAGAGCGGGGAGCAGAGCAGGCAGAAGGACCGAAGGACACTGCTGAGGGGAGCAGCGGGCGGCAGGAGAGGCCTGCGCACCACGTGGGACCCTCCTCCAGTGGCCGGGGAGCAACCGGGGATTGAACCGGCGCTCAGAGGCTGCGGGCAGCTTCGCAACCCGGCGCTCAACCGCTGCGCCACCGGGGAGGCCCTTATACTAAATAATTTTGAAGATACAAATAAACCCAAATATTCCTTCCGGTATAATAAAAAATATTCTGAATATAGAAAGAAATGTTATTGAATGTCAATATTCAAAAGTACTACTCCTTTAGTCAATGAACAAAGTTAAAATTTAATGTTCAAGGAATGATCATTGACTTCAGAAAGAAATGATTAGCTTCTTATTTTCCCCCTCATAAAGCCATATATTCTTTAATTTAAACCTTGCATTGCCTTAGTCAGAAATTGTAATTCTAAGTATTACTGTGGCTTTATGGAACTCATTCACTAATGTGGTATTGCATTATTCTTTATAAAAATATTTTTAATATCCAATACACAAGAGAATTGGGCACAGTTCAAAATCCTAACACATTTAGGACCTATCACAAACCAAATCACGTTCTCATTCCCCATTCAACAAATAACAATAAATAGTGAAAATCTAGTAGAGCTGTGCTACAACATGCACATCAATCCTATGAGTAGACTCTAAGGTCACGAGGGTACACATTATTTAACTAAATAATGTGCTATATTTAAAACAGAAAGGTACAATATCACACCTTATTATTTCCATAGGCCATATCCATTGCTTCGAGGGATAAGGAGCAAAGCGCGTTTATTAAATGATGCAATGATACATCATCAAGATATCTAAAATAAAAATGAGAAAATAAGACATTACGATATAAAATACACAGCTAATGACAATGTTTCCATCAATTTTGAGAAACTGACTCTTACTGTGAGCTTTCAAATAATCTTGAAAGTATATTGGAAATCACTGGTAAATCTGTCATCACTGCCGTGGTGAGAACCTAAGAGAAGAAGAGAATTGCATGTAAAGTGTAAACTCTCCGGGAAGCATGAGGAGGATGAAATGACTGGTGCTTACTGTGCTGGGTCCTTCCACCGCTCTCCCAGGTTTCAAGGCTCCACCACTGCTTGGCTTTAATCCTAGAATCCACACAAGATGCTGTAAATTAAAAAACAAAAAATCAAAACAAAGACATTTATAAAACTATAGTTAATTCTAATAGAGATCAGTATTAACTTCAACTAAAATTAAAATTAACAGACTTTTAGTTATTAAATTTCAGTCATTAATTAATATTCACACAAAACATTTATTACAGCAAGCACAGGCAATAGAGCTCAGGTTACTTTGGGACATAGCCCATCGCTTTATGGAGCTCGAACCTTGCCTATTTCCTTTCCAACTTCCGCCCTTTATGTTTACTGTATATTCTTTAGGCCTGCCTAAGCACCAACAGGCATTGCTTCATTGTTAGCACTTAGACATGGAAACAACACTAGCCTCCAACCCACAGATGACTACATACCTGCAGGGTTGCCAAGACAAGCTGCCATGATGTTCCAAGAACAGCCCCATGGCAGTGAGCCAGGTTTAGTAAAGTCCTCATACACTGGATATTTTTGGAAGTTAACTATATTCAAAAAAAGGATATATTTGTAAGAAATGTTATGTATTCTTGAAAGTTAGAAGCCTGTAAAAGCAGCATTACATAAGCAAAAGAAATCTTAGTAAAAAATAAAAACATTAAGAAAATAGAATTGGATGGTTGTGCATAGAACAAATTCATCTGTTGTCATTATAGCTGGTTATGATGTCAACGAGCAAAGTGACTCATTTCTTCTAAAGGTATCATACAGGGCAAAGAAAGTCAATATAAAATAAATTGTGGCAAACACAGAAATAAAAGGCACAAAAGGGTTTGTTAATTCACAGGTAACCAAGAAAAGCACAAGTATTTTACCATGACTGTCCCTTGAGGCTGGACTGCCAGAGGTTGACCAACTGCTACAACTTGCTGGTGAGATTCACTTGATGGACTTATCATCATAACACTCTGACCCTGAATGGAATATGCTAGAACACAGAGAAAAACTAGCTAAATAAACTTATAAAGTTGCATTCAAAATAACTGTATTTTAAAACAATAAATAATAAACTAAGTTCAACTATGTCACTTACTTAGTTGCACATAAACTATATGCAAACATTTTTAAAACTCAGGAGGTACAAAAACCAAGTGTTAAGCAAATATTAAATAATTTTCTAAATAACTTTTTGAAATTATAAAACTTTGGTAGAATTCATGAGCAAAACAATAAGTATTTTGACCATCTACTTTCAGTAAACTTTTCTAGTTGAGATGAATACTCACATTTTCAGTTTGAAACTTAGTATTAATATTGAAATACATTCATAGGCTATGTAGCAAATTTGCAAAGCATTGCAATGCTTTCAAAGCATTCAAAAACAAAAATCTGAAAGTTAACTGATTCTAATAGCATTGGTTCCATTAAAAAAAAAAAAACAACTATCACCTTTCAGCATTATATAATAGTATGCAAAGAATTTCCAGATTTATATTCTTTCATCCTCATGAGTACTGTTTAAAATGGATGTTGGTCTCTCCACCCACACTCCGTAAAAGAGGTGGAAGGAAATGAGGCCCGGGGACATTGCTCTCTCACAGAGCTCACAGAGCAGCTAAGGCTTGAAATCAAAGGGTCCGCAACTGTCACTCTGCACTGTGCCCCCACCCAGAAGCCACCAGCCGAGTCTTACCCTTGTTGGACAGTGTGGCAGCAGTGGTGGTGTTCAGCACGGTGAGCGCATAGTGGGGAGGCAGGGAACCTTTGCATATTGCAGTGATAAAGGCATCTCTTGAAGTTACAAGGCCTAGTCTTCCACAAAGAGCAGCCATAGTCAGTTCAGCTTTTAAAATGTTCTCAGTGGCAGCTTCATCTGTGCTGAAAAGTTAAAGTATTTAATATTAATTATTTATTAACTATTGTTTTTAATTACAATGTAAGCATGATGTAGAATTAGTTATTCAATGAAGTTTTAAGACATCTCTACAAAAATATTATCAAAATAAATATACTTAAAAAGGAATTGTAACTATAATATCTGAAAATTTAAACTTGGTAAAAGCAATATATGATATACACACTATTGAAGAAAATGGTGCAGAACTTAGATTTGACTTAAATCATTTAAAATCCGGGGGCCTTGGGGTTATGCCTCAGCGCCATTACCATGGCAGCTTGGGATAGATCCCCAGCCAGGGAGCTACCCTCATGGTGCAGCAGACCTCTCCTGTCTCCCCGCTGCTCCCCTCAGCAGTGGATTTCAGTCAGTCTGCCTGTTCTGTTCCCCACTCTGTCTCTGGTGACTCCTCTCACCCCCCCCCGCCCCCCCGCACCTCGGGCCTGCACCCCAGAGCTCTAGTACGCAAAATAAATAAAAACAAATCTTTTAGGGCCTCCCTGGTGGCGCAGCGGTTGAGCGCTGGGTTGCGAAGCTGCCCGCAGCCTCTGCAGTGCTGGTTCGATTCCCGGCTGTTCCCCGACCACCAGGGGAGGGTCCCACATGGCGCGCAGACCCCTCCTGCCGCCCGCTGCTCCCCTCAGCAGTGTCCTTCTGTCCTTCTGCCTGCTCTGCTCCCCGCTCTGGCTCTGGTGAATTCTCTCACCCTCCCACGCTTCTGACTGTACCCAGTGCTTGTATAAATAAATAAATAAAATCTTTAAAAACAAACAAACAAACAAAAAAAAACACAAATCTTTTAAAAAATATTTAAAATCTGTAAATTGCACAATTCTGGAAAACATCAAATAAATTGAATAATATAACTATCACCACTAAAAGTAGTACTCTTTCAAAGTCTAAAATGAAAAAGGCATTCTGCAACCCCATGCTGACAATTCTACTGTGGCACATGGCAAATTTGGGGTGGGGTGAGGGACAGCAGCAAGAGAGTAACATGCTACACATATGAAAATTAATATTAGAAATGATTCTTAGGACAAACATAAGGAAACCATTTTAGTGTTTGGTTTTGGAACTGCCACCCACTATATAAAACTCGCAAAGCCCTGATACCTGGCATCGAGGAGGAGCGAGAGTGCAGCGAGCAGACCACACCAACAGGCGTTCACCATCTCCTCCCACACAGCTCTGCTGCCTTCAAGGAGAAAATGCACAATACTTAATGGCAATCACAGAGATCACAGTATTTAACAATACGTCCAATTCTAGAATCTCCCTGGTCATTTAAAAATATATGAAATAGTCCCTCGACAACTCAATTATGAAATACTAAAGCTCTAGTATTTAAAATATATCGAAAGTGGGCCTCCCTGGTGGCACAAGGGTAAGTTAAGGCACAACCTATGAAGCTATCTGCAGCCTCTGCAGCATGAGTTCGATCCCCAGCCGGCAAGGGAGCTACCCACATGACGCAGCAGACCCTTCCTGTCTCGCCCGTTGCTCCCTTCAGCAGTGTGTTTCAGTCATTCTGCCTGTTCTGCCTCCCGCTCTGTCTCTGGTGAATCCTCTCAACCCCCGCATCTCTGGCCTGTACCCCAGCTTTTGTATGCATAAATAATCTTTAAAAAAATAAAATATATCGAAACTTAAAAACCACACTATATGTTTAAAATTAAAGAACTCTTAAGAATAGATTTCAAAATATCAACAATAAGATATTTTGGTACAAAAGGTAACTGATATCTTGAATACACATGATATGCACCTACATACACAACATAATGTAATATACACAGACATAATCACGTGTCTCTCCCCTCCCCTCCCCTGGCCATACTCCGCATATGCGACCAGCTAAGAGCAAGGCGGCGTGAGAATGGGACGAGGCAGGAGACAGGTAATACACACAGTGGGGATCAAACAGAAGGAAGTACATGAGGAAAATGGGATCAGATTTCTTACTTTGGAGAAAGGAATTACAAACGTGTAGTTCAAAATAAACCATGTGGGATGAAGAAGGGGAGAATGTGGCGTGACCTCAGGGCAGCTGACACAGAGACCGATTCTCCTCAACTGCAGAGAGCTGGGGACTTGAAAGTGTTTGTTTTTTCTATCAAGCAGCAAGCTGCACACCCAGGGCCCATGTATTCACTTCCAGATACTTTCTACTCTAAAAACAGCCAAGACTCCTTGGAAAAATACGTGACTCCCAGGATGGAAAATCCAAGATGAACTTGGAAAATGCGAAAATGCTAGGGGACCTGTAATGTTCTGTTGCATCGGACAGCAAGGCAGTGCTCCGAAGATGACACACGCTATTATTTTTGCAACTTCTCTGTAAATTTTAAATAATTCAAAATAAAAATTAAAAATACAGAACCATAATTAACATACCAATTTCCTTATCCATTTGGTCTGAGGCTGACTGTAATTCTTGTTGTTCTGACGACTGTGTGGGTGAGGAAGCCGCTTCAGTGACACCCTGGCACTCTGCTTCAGTCTCTCCCAACTCTCCGTCAATCATACTAGTGATTCCACGGACAAGATCCAGCAGACAATGAAATGCCACAGACATGGCATAACCTTCTGGTATAGTCGGGGGCTCAACTTTGTCCAACATCTCTAGACTGAAATTACAAAAAAAATCAGAATGCCAATGCACAGCCACAATGACGAAACTATATAAAGCTGTTTCCATGCTATGTAGACTACAGAAGGTGGTATTAGTAGAACAGCAAAGGCAAATGGACATTATGGAATTTATAATATACATTTTATACACAGAGAATCCCGAAAGGTAGATACATCACTACTTCCGATTGGTAGATAAGGAAACTGAGATTTTTAAAAAGGTAAATTAATTTGCCTTAGGAAACGCAGTGTTAGAAAATCTAAGTCCAAGGGGCCTGAAGTCAAGACATACACTTAAACCAAAAAGCTGTGTGTAAAGAAACCGTTCTGCTTTACAATGCTATTAGCAGACTAGGAACAGTACAAAAGAAAACAGCCCTAGATAAAATTCTCAAAATATAACAAAAGAAAATTGGTTCTAAAATGCATTAAAAATACTACGTCTAAAATTTAAAATATAATGCAGAAAAAAAGTTTCAGGATAAAATATCATCCCCATCAATATCAGACCTTACAAAATAATGCTATCACTACTTACTAAGTGGCTTTAGCACTGCCTTGTACTGTTATAGTTAGAATAGGTATCCAAGTTCCTCTATATTCAAAGGCTGGTAGCAAAGTAACACCTCCACCAATACCCAGCATTCCTGAGTTAGCTGGTGCTGAGACGGGGCCACCTGAGTTATTGTTTCCTATTAGATGAAAAGAAGAAAGCAAAGATACCATTTATTACTTAATTATAAAATTATAAATAAAAAATAATATCCAAACACCTGGTTAACTTAAAAAAATTGTGCTACAGCAGTATATGTCACACAAATAAATCACTATAAATCCTATCTTGGCTATTAGAAATGCTCCCTGTTAGGCCTCCCCTTGTGGTGCAGCGGTTGAGCCCTGGGCTGCGAAGCTGCCCGCAGCCTCTGCAGTGCCGGTTTGATCCCCGGCCGCCGGGCGAGACGCCCACATGGCGTGCAGACCTCTCCTGCCGCCCGCTGCTCCCCTCAGCAGTGTGTTTCATCAGTCTGCCTGTTCTGTTCCCTGCTCTGTCTCTGGTGAATCCTCTCACCCTCCTGCGCTTCTGACTGTACCCAGTGCTTGTATAAATTTAAAAAAAAAAAAAAAAAAAGAAAGAAAAAGAAATGCTCCCTGTTACCCTAAAACATCATTTCTTTTTCTATATAAAAAAGTACTTGTGAGTAAAATACTGACAAGCTTTGTTACTTACCTTTCATTGGATCATGTTTATCAGTGATGGGAATAAAGAATAAAAAAGACCACTAATCAGATAGGAAAAAGTGGAAGAAAAAGGAATGAAAAGGAATACAAGAATTTACAGATTGATTGCCAAACAAATGTAAATCAAGTCCCCTATTTTGTTGCAAGAGAGACTAAAAGGCCTTTCAAAGTAGCAAACCCTTTAAAGACAGAAATCAAATGAAGAGTCTCCTAAATTGAAGATTAGCATCTAAATTTTTGTCCTTATGTGATTAGAGGAACAGGAAGTGTATCATAGAAGGGAGTACAGCTGCCTCTGTGAGAGAAAACTATGCAAGTGTAAGTCTTTACTATCAGCCTATTTACTAGGTAATCCAAATTTCTCTAGTCATAGGAGTTCTATAAAATAATCTCTCAGAATAGTGAATACTATATATTATGGCAGAATATAAACAAAAGCATGAATAAGGCTTTACCAGCTTGGTTTGCTGAGACAGGATTTCCAGTAGGAGGAACGAGAAACAAGGACTGGATAAAAGAGCCCAGTGCATTGACAATGTCACGGAAAACCTTGGTAGAGTGCTGCTTCATGTCATAGGACTGACAAAACGACCTGTGAAATAAGTTTAAATGTTTCTGGGACAAATAGTTGGATATATCAAACAATTAAACACATTTCATAACAAGTAATGTTGACAAACCAGTCCCAAAGCTATATTTAAACCTTCAGCACAACATCATATTAAGCACTTAATTCTGCAACCTGGGCCATGACAATAAGGCAGAGTCTTCATCTATTCCTTAGCAACTGATGTTCAAAGTTCTCAAAACCTTAATAGTTATTTTTCATCATTCTATGTTCAACAGCCTTAAAATGTATTCAAACTTAACATCTGAAGATACGGAAATAAAATTAATTGCTTTATTGGAAAAAAACTTCATACTTGAGTGATTTTACTAACTTAGGACATAGGTTGAGATTGAGGTCAATGTTGTAAAAAACTGATCTTCAACACATTAACTCAGTAAATTTGAACTGATGGTGATGAAAGAAGGTGGAAGTTTATTGGGGTGGGGACAGGTGTGATTACTGAGTCATTTAAACAACTATGAAGTGTCTGGGAATTGAAGGTGTGGGCAGAGAAGATGATCAGTTACAGAAAACCAACCCAACCTGATTCCAGAGCGATAACGAATTCCACAAAGTAATTTCATCAAAGCACAGTATACAAGGATACCTCTTGCTCTGGCAAAATGCAGATCTTGCCCTAAGACTGCCAGCCTGTGTTTATGAAGCATCTCTTCTTAATAAACCTGCCCTTTCAAAATGCAGCCTTTGCCAACATGTGCCTATGCAAACATCGTTTTCATCTTTTTCCTTAATAAAAATGCCAGTGTCACTGAATGGGGACTCTGCTGATCATTGTTAGAGGAAGCCAACAACCCCACTCACTGTACCCCAACAATGGCAATCACTGACCACATGTTTTGCCACCTGTCAGTTGTTTTCCACACCTACAAACCTACCTTTCCCATACACATACAAAACACAATTTCCTTGCTAGGAAATCATGAATATTTAGGAACAAGTATTTAAACTCTTCCTGTTAGCACAAACATTAACCTGTCCATTTAACAAAATATTGCTGAGATTTTACCTTAATAGCTGAGGCTGCACACAGAGTCTGTGTATTGATTCCACTGCAACAGCTCGCAGCCACTGTGGTTTATCTGCATCCAGAAATTTTACCAGAAGCGACAGAAATATCTCACATTCAGTTACCTAAAAAGTGTAAGATTATATTTCTTTAGATCTAAGATAAGGATTACAAATTGCATTCTTATTAGTGCTAAGGACAAAACAATAAAATCTTTTAACGTTAAATAAATTAAAATTCTAATAGGGAATAGAGAAGAGGAGGGGAAAGCAATCATCTACGGAAAAGCGACAGCAGCGATGAGGTCTCCCTCCCAAAAGCACCGTCAGAGAAGCAGAGGGCTGGAGGTGGCGGTGCAGGCCCTCCGCGGGCAAGGTTCTTCTACTCCCGAAGCGCGGGCCTGATCCTGACCCCAGCAGCTGCAGTGGCGGCTTCTCCAGGAAGGCGCCTCCCTGCTGTGTCAGTTAGCTGGCCCTGCCCTATAGCTTTAGGCTTCTTCTGATCTCTAGGGTCAAAAGCCAGGAGGAGTTTCTCTCTGTCACCCGATCTGGGTTGCCATAAGATTCTGTTTTTATGTGTGCTCAAGATTCCCTCTCCCATCACCAGCCCACTGTGCTGCTCTGGTGGGCTGCGGGCTTATTCCGGCAATGTGTGCACTGCTTGCGGGGGAGGGGGGTATTATACAATTAGCACTATAAAACTTCTATTTTGAGTTTTGTAACTCTGTGGCATTTCAGATGCTAGTGTTCCTGTACTTCATTGTACTGAATGAAAGGACTATGTTGAATAAACCAGGGATTACTTTAAAAAATCAGTGCTCTCAGAACACATCCCTGAAAACTCACACTAGTAAGACTGGGTTGTCGGAAAAGGCATGATGGACTCCGTCACGGCTTTTCTGACAACCCACGACACGATGAATCGTTTCTCCTGATCTTGTGGAAAGCACCGCGCCCCATCACGTCGCCCGCACTCTGGGCGGGAGCACATAGCGCGTGAACTGCGGCCAGGCCGCATGCGCTGCCCAGCGGTGGCAATACCACTTTCCTTTACCTTCTTTTGCTGCTTAACAAGAAAGATGCATAAGTCAAAGGATGTTTGCTGTGTATTTTCTAGCAGGTAAACAAGAAGGAATCTACAGCAATGGTCAGATACAGGAGATGTGAAGTATGTACAACAAGATCTGGTACAGTTTTGCTTTATTACTGCTAATTAGCTATTATTACTATTGTTATTAATAAAAACCAACTCATCTGCAAGCTCTCTGTAAATAATTAATGTTGAAAGCACATTCTTGAGATTACTCACTGAATGTCTAATGAGTGAATGAATCAACAAAAGGCGACCAGTTTATTAAAAGGTTAATGGGCCTCTGGGAGGGAGGTAAGAGTGACGCTGACACAGTAATTGCTGGGCCCAACTGAGTCTTCCGTGGACACCTGGTGCAGCAGGTGACTGGCTATTTTAGCTGGGGACACCCCGGAATAAGTGAACATACGTGAGGCAAAGAATTTGGGGAATATAGGAGCCTTTGGGATGTCAGCCCAAAGTCTTCAGAGCTGGTATGTTCTAATTCCTGTCAGTATCTTTAACTGGCTGTTAATAGCAGCTATGAGAACAAAGTAGCTTGGACAACTACAAACCACTTTATCCTCAGACCACTCGTGACCAGGCAAGTCATAAGACAGAGGTTTGTCATTGTCCTAAGCACCATACACCTGAAAAGCACTAGCTGAGAAATCAGATGGCTCAGATAGTTTATCTACCAACTCCGTGGATGATAACAAGCCAGGTAACCTTTTCATAAAGGATAAGAAGTACTTAACATCTTCCTAAGAAATCAAATGAGAAAACTATAAAACATCCCTTAAACATGATAAAATGCCATACAAATGCATAAACCAGCAATGTTTTCCTGACCAAAATGACCTCTGTTTAGATATGGAACTTAAATAGTTATGCTAGTGACCTACTGGGCATCAGCTATTATCTACTGAAGCTTTAATATTAGTTAAAATTAGTTGATATTTATAAGAGCATATAAAAATGAGTACTTACCAGAAGACTATAGAATTGCTTGATCAGAACAGATACTACTCTCAGCAAACGCATGCATATAGGAAAATATGGTTTTTCAACTGGTGCTGGCGAAGATGAAGTGGCAGAACCTTGTCTGAACTTTATATTTGGAGAAAAAAGCTTTATCACAAGAGGACATACCCTTTCTTTGAGGAGGAAACTAAATTCCTGATGCTATTTGCAAATGTAGAAAAAAAGAAAAAATAGAATTAATTAGGTTTGTGCTTAAAGCTTCGAAAACAGTCTCACTAGTATATACAACTTCTGAATAATCGATAGGAATAATTAATTTTATTATAAGTTTACAGAGGTTACACACAATTCTGAAGTTTGTATTGCACTTAAGAGCATAAGATAAAAATATTAACTTTTTAAGAAGTTTTAAAAAGAATCTAAATTAAAAAGAAACATTTAATAATTTTAGATTTATGTTTGCTTATAACCAGGAGCTTTAAGTTTAGAAGGACATTAGCTATTAAAAATATAAAAAAAACAGAAGAAAATAGATTACCAAAATTCAAACAGATAAACTATTTAAAATAGGCAGCAAAGAGAAAAACTAAGAAACTATCTACATAAAACTGAAATCAATTTTGGACTTTAGTTTCTTACAAATAACTTTGTTTTAAAACATTTTGTAAAGCACATTAAATTTATTGGGCCTCCCTGGTGGCGCAGCGGTTGAGTGCTGGACTGCGAAGCTGACCGCAGCCTCTGCAGCACCGGTTCCCCTCCCCGGCCGCCAGGCGAGGGTCCCACATGGCGCGTAGACCTCTCCTGCCGCCGCTGCTCCCCTCAGCAGTGTATTTCGTCAGTCTGCCTGTTCTGTTCCCCACTCTGGCTCTGGTAGATTCTCTCACCCTCCCGCACTTCTGACTGTACCCAGTGCTTGTATAAATAAATAAATAAATAAATAAATAAGTCTTTTTTTTTTTTTAAAAAAAATTTATTAAGCACCTACTACTTCTTTTTCCCTTAAATTCTTTAAAAGCACAGCATATAAAAAGTCAACAAAAGCAAGTAAAGTCAACAACCTTTTCTTTAACCTGCCAAATATTATAAAAATAGCTCAAATGCCACATTCCCTCATATACCATAGACTAGAAAATGACTGACCGTAGAGTCTCTAGAGATTCCTTCTAGTATTAACATTTCAAAATGCTAGAGAACTATAAAAATCTTAAGGAGATAATTCTTGGCATCTTTCAACCTGGAAAAAAACAGATGCTGCTATCTTGAAAAAAATCTGTGAAAAATTTAAAGATTAATTTTGTCACAAACACTACCAATGGCTTACTTGTAAAAAGACTTGTGGGAAATCATTCAGGACGGACTCAAGTAATTCAAGGCCAAATGTTCGAGTCATTTCTGTCATGCCTACTAGCCAGTAAGGGGCATCAGCGTTAACCAACTGACAAAGGTCCTGAAAAAAATAAGTCAAACAATACATAAAAAATAAACAAACGATCACAGACTGGAATGAAATGTCTTTTTCAAAACTTATAGTTCATAAAATTGAAAAAATTTCTCTTATGTAGTAGTTTTGACTCCTTAGAAACTAAGCATTGCAAATTCAAATTTTAACAAATTGCTTGATTAACCATATAGTAAACTTATAATCATATAACTATAAACAATATATGAAATATACAAATAAACAGTTAATCTAACTTTGCTTTAAAGAAAAACTGCTTAAAATAACCCTTTAATCCAAATGAATAAAATTTACAATGCAGATGAATATTATATTACTTTAAAGACTTATTTATGACAAGTGATATGAAAATTAGGTATTTGTATACCAACCTACATTAAGTAGGCTAGAAGATTTTCACTAAAATTTTCCTTGTTGAAGGAATTATTTGGTATAGACAAGCAATCCTAATACATCTATTTTCTAGTTCAATTCATTTTATTCTCTTAAAGTAAGACACAACATTTGATCATGTCAATTAGCAACAGATGATTTTTAATGTTTTAGAATATTTCTGAAATACCATTTTAATGCATTTTTTAAATTGACACACCAAAAAATTAAATCAGACATACATTTCCAAAATCAAAAAATTCATACAAAACTATATTCTACAATAAGAATTATTTTTATCAACTTAAATACCTGAAAAAGCATATATGCATCTTTAGCACAAGGCTTGAGGGTGCTGACAGATCTTCGGTTACTATTTCCTTGCACCAGCACCGGCTGTTCTATAATATCTACAATCAAAATAAAATGGAATTTAGGAGTCCACAATGACCTTTAATAAATCACAGGTACTCTTTAGAAGGAATATTTAAATTGCTTATTTACAGAATTATAAACTTCCTAAGTTCAGGATTAAACTTCAAAATAAAAAAAAAAAACCTGGAAATCTTATTTTTAAACAAAATGTCATTTAAAAAAACTACTCTTCACTCTCTTACATTCCCTTTAATAATATTAAGTGAAAAATAGAATTTTTGCTCCTATCTCTGATTTTCTCAGTCTTCCATTCTCCAGTTCCCTTTATTTTATGGTTTCAATATTTATATGATTTTTGAATGTGAGAAACACTCGCAGGACACGAAGGTCTCCCCCCACCCAGTTCAATTAAACAATGGAATGTTCAGAACACCAACATAACACCACAGCACAGTGACCAAAGCTGCTTCAGAAAGGTCGGCTGGGTAATGTGGGAAACTCAGGGGCCTCCACAGCCCAGAGAACCCCACAGGCCCAAATGAGAGACAAGATTCAGAGACCCCCAACAGCCAAACCCCCATTCCTTGCCCACCACCCCCTATATAAGCACCTGTTTTTTGTCCCCTCAACTGGCCACCCATTCAGGGCCTTTCTGCTCAGGGAGCTCTCTGTCCTTTTCCTACCTATCAATAAATCTCTTCCTTCTCTGCAGCTTTGGCCTTGATGTTGAATTCTTTCCTGGCCAACGACAAGCATGGAGAAAGAGCCCTCCTGGGGTCCCCAGCCTCCAGGCCTGCTCCCCAACTCCCTGATTCAGTACTGTTAAATACACTGCTTAAAGTATTCTGTTTTATTAGGTAGCCTAAGTTCCTAGGGCAAAGGCTGAAAAATCAATAAAAGGGAAATCATGGCTATAAAACACTATAAAAAGCAATCAACTTCCATCAACTCACCTTTGTGTCTCTCATCTTCAGCAACCATTCTCTCAAAGACAACAGTGACAACTTGCCGGACTGTAGCGGCAGCTGTGTTATTTGTAATATTATCTTTTGTGAAATGCAGTCGAAAACAAAGTACAATTGCCTAAAAAAAATTTCCACTTAGTATGCGATAAGAGAGAAGAACATGTATATTATTTTAATATTATCTAATAATTGAAAATTAAATAACTTATAAATGGCTGTTTCAATTGCAGATATTAAAAATGTACCCCTTTTTATACAATGAAACTGCATTTCCTATTCAAACCCATGACTGTCCGCTACACCCCAGGGACTTTGCTTAAGCACCATAACCAGATCTCAACTCTGATCTGGGGTAAATAAAACGCTAATGGTTTTCAGAACGCAATGCCCATTATCACATGACAGGGAAGATGCTTTGGTTCACACTGCACCAGGCTTTGCTCTTTCAGCCAGTTAATTCAGATAATGTTGCGAACCACATGTGAAACTATGGCAAACAGATCTCCTACCTTAGAGAGCGCCTCATCATGAACTACTGTGTTGGTTGTTAAAAGAACAAGAACTGTCTGAAGCAGCTTAAGTTCTTCAAGGCTATTTTCCATTAGCTGCCAAAGCATGTTAATTATATTTCCAGCTGCGGTCTGTAAAATAAGTTTAATTATTGTCAACAAATAAAATACAGGTGATTAATCCCTAAGTAAAAAATAGTACACAAATATTAACTCATTTGGAGAGAATTTCCTAATCACAATAACAAAATTGACATTTCTAGATCTACACATCCAAAATCATGACTCTCAACTAGCTTGAGACTTACAACCAAGTAACTTTCTTCTCAAAAAAACCAAACTTCCTTAAAATGTAATATCTCAAATATTTCATTTAGACATTAACGAATATGGATATACACAAATTAACTGAGTCTGTTATTTCTCATATATTATTATATCTACAATATTATAGAAAAAAAGTGCAGCTTGTATTAGCAACGCATTTATAAACTCAAAAAAATCCAACATTTACAATGCTATACTAAAGGCAAAATAATTTACCACTTCTATTAAAATATGTTGTGGAGTACAAAGTAAACACTACTGAGTTTGAAAGCGTGATGCAGATTCATAGTGATGAAATTTTTTTTTTTACCATCATAACGTTAGAGACAAAAAATATGCTTCGGTTAATAAAAACAATTTATCACTTCAGATAATCTAGGAAACAGCTTTTCCTTCCTACCTTAAAAAAGAGTAAGAATATATATAATGTCTTCAATGATACTGAAGGTCTGCTTGGCTCTCAAAGTTACCGTTTCTACCACTGAACTGTGACTTCTTAGATTACAAATGACAAAATGTACTCCATTTTTATTTATTATTTATGAGTGCTTGACAACGAGAAAATTGGCAATCTTTTAAAATTAAGTCATGTCCTTCAAGCACAGTGCTATTCATAAAACTGTTTTACATTAAATCAGTTTTATTCTCTTTATGAAAACTCCTGATTCAAGTTCTGTGTGCACAGTTCAGACAGAATCTTCGTTATTACCTCAGACACGACTTCATGTGACATGAGTCTCTGAATGGCGGCCAAACACAGCTGAGTGATCTTCGGTTCCTTGGTTCCACAACCCATTAGAAAAGGTTGAACAACCTCTGAGCTGTTCTCTTTCAATGCTTTATTTAGAACACATATAAAATAAATCATTAAATCTAATTCATATCTAGGAGTACATTTTTAAAATAGTTACAACCTGTAATGACAATCTTTTATAAAAACAACTGAACCAAGGGACTTTGCTTAAGCACCATAACCAGATTTCAACTCTAATCTGGGGTAAATAAAAACACCAAAGTAAAAATCAAGTAGTAAGAGTTAAAATGCCTACTACAGATTAGCTAAACTACATCTTTCCCAGGGCTTTCTTCTGACACACTGTCCTCTGGCTTCCTCCATCTTCTACTATAAAGTGTTTAAGGACAACTTTTTTGAAGTTCTAACCCCCGCCTCACAGGGGATTAAGATTTCACACTCTAGAAAAATTAAAAATAGTATATACATCATCCCCAACCATAGTATTGAATGAAAGTATAGAAGCATCTTAGAAATTTATTATGTCTTGAATTTACATAGCCCTCCTTTCTTCTGTAAGAAATAAAACATGTTAAAGACTATTTCTGTTATTACTGAAGCATTATTTCAAATTAATCAGATGTAGGTGGGGTAATTCCAAATCTTAATTTAACACCTTCAAGCAAGTCAATTATTTTAGAAATATTAAAGCAACTACAAAATGTAAGTGGTGAGAAAATACACACACTGAAGTATATATAATTAAATTTACAAAATGAAATTAAGTCAATACATATTCCCTGATTGTCTGCACTAAGATGGGTAAGACAGGTCTTTCATCCTAAGGAAATCTGAATAAATAACATGAAACTCATGGTCAAGAGGACATTAAATTTTGGGGATTTGCTATATGTTTCCAAAGGTATTACATCCCTCAATTATTTTTTGAGGTTAAGACTTGTAGTAAAGACAGAAATCTAAGTCTTAGCATGTTTTTCAAAAGAAACTGAAAAGTCATCTGGGATCACCATTAAAAGTGAAAAACCAGTACAAACATTAATTTTATCATTAAATCCCCACACACGTTCTCCCAAAACTCGCTTTATGGTAAATAAAGACTACAATTTCCTACATCATATTCTCAAAATTCCTCTGTATACCAGAATAAATTATTGATTTAAGCAGAACTAAGGTGGAAAATATGACTGACAAAAAACTGTTTTCAAGAGTTCTCTCTAATTTCCTTGCTTTCTTTGTGTCTAAAGGTTTTCACTCAAAAACTAAGACATAACTTTTCATAAAAATGTCCCAAAACATTCATATAGGAATGATTAAAAGGTGACCACAAAGCTTAATACATACTATTCTAGAACAGTGGTTAAATATGCTTTCACAGTCAAGCTTTCCAGAATCAGTGAAGTATGAGGCAACTACTAACTGTGCTAAATATTCCTAATCATTAAATGTTGTTCAAGCAAATAAAAGTTTTCAATAGTAACAAGTTGCATTTTTAATTTTTATTATAACATTAACATATCTTTCATTAACACATCATAATAATCAGAGAATTTATAGGGCATGATTTGACCCGTGACAAAGTAGGTGGAATTGGAAAATATGTCCACCCCGGGGTTTTCTAGTCTCCCCCACCGCATCATGCTGCCGCTCTCTGAAGCTAACAGCATGCAAGGAGCAGGGGAGCTGGACGTAGCTGAGAGCAATCAGTGATCTGCCCTTGACAGCTGTCTGCCTGACATCTCCAAGTACTAAGGGAAGGATCCTGTCTTCACAGAAGAAAAATGTACTTTTAGAGTCTAAGATGACAGTGATTTCAAGACATACTCAGAGTATTAATCAAAAAGAAATTCAGTGTCAACTGAACTATGATACAAGGCTTTTTAATCACTGAGCACTGTTCCCGATTTCTCCTCTGGGCTACCGCGAGCACTAGGTGCCTCACTTCTTGAAAGAGTTCTTCACTACTGTCTGAGATTTTCTTCTCACTCAGAAGACCCATTCTGCACCTTTTGATATTAGTGCTTTTATGATCTCACCACCAGAGATTAACAGAAAGCTTCTGCATGACAACTAGGTTGACATTTCAAATAGCAATTAAAACTTACGTAATATTAAATACATATGTATTTTAACTGATGTGACATGAACAACCAAGTTCACACACACAACGAAAAAGACAACCCCAGACGACCTGGCCCACAGTGATCCCAAGACGCCATCAATTATAAAATACACACTGATTTGGGGCATGTTAAGAGGTAAAAATAAAATAATAAGCTATATATCTTGAATGAACAAAATAAGGTTAGTCACAATGAAATACTTAGAGATATCATATCAGTAATCCAGGCCTATCAAGCTGAGATAAATTTAAGATAGTAATCAAATTTTTAAAACTTTATTTTAAAATAATGTGAAGGAACCAAACATCTAGCTTTAGTCTCCTCACTTTTGTTTTCCCCAGTTTGCATGCGAACATAAGTCAAAAGGGAAGCTCTCTGTTACCCAAATCAGATGACCACCAACAACAATAACCTACTGAGCTATTCCAAGTCTTCTGAAGCATAATGTGAAGAATAAAAATATGTCCGCAATATCGAGATCACAACACACTAAGATCATTAAAAAAAAAAAACTTTACTGATTTCTTTCTCTTTTTCAAAAAGTGGCAGAGATCCTATATAAGCAGAAATTTACCTTGCTCTTCTCATTGAAAAGTAACGCTTTCTCTTTTTGTGCATAATTTTAATGACGTGCTGTATTTTTTTAATAAAAACCTTCCTATGAGATCAGATTTAAGAAATTACATTGAGGAAAAGGCTATATAGGGCCTCCCCAGTGGCGCAGCGGTTGAGCACTGGGCTGCAAAGCTGCCCGCAGCCTCTGCAGTGCCGGTTCGATCCCCGGCTGCTCCCTGGCCACCGGAGGAGGGTCCCACATGGCGCGCAGACCTCTCCTGCCGCCCGCTGCTCCCCTCAGCAGTGTACCTCGGTCCTTCTGCCTGTTCTGCTCCCCGCTCTGGTGAATCTTCTCACCCTCCCACGCTTCTGACTGTACCCAGTGCTTGTATAAATAAATAAACAAACAAACAAATAAATCTTTTTAAAAAAAAAGGCTATACAGCTATATAAAGACATGTTCTTTAATTTTTCTTTAATTGCAGGGAAAAAGAGACAACAGTAGACTCTTTTACCATCACTCTACTTCAATCTCCATTAAACTATGCAGACAGCTCTTGGGGGTAAGAAAACTTTATTTCCACCTAAGTCCTTTGATAAGCATAACTCCTTTATAGAGTCAACACTATGTTTGATAAATGTATTTGTTTCCAAATTTTATAACTGAGATCAAATGATGCACTCTCACACACCTGCAGCAGTCCAGCTGTCCCCATATCCCAGGGGTTTCCTGGCTCTGAGCGTCTCACTGCATAATTGCAGTTTTTATCCTGGAAAAAAAGAATTACACTAGGATACCCCACTAGGAGTCATATTAGTAGAGGTGATCAAAAGCTTATTATAATAAATGTTAATGGTCAGTAACAAATTTTAATTCTTGTGAAAGAAAGAAACTTATGACATAGACACAACTACTAGCCTCAAAATCCTTAAAATCTAGTTATGGGGAAAACATAAAATATTTTTTCCTTTTATATATACCTTACATCAGTCTTTCTTTTCGTACAATAGATGCTTTCTCCTCTCAGGAAAATTCCCACAAGTCGCCCGTGCACCGTCACCAGAGTCCCTTGTGCTCTTCCCTCCCGTTCTGATCCTGCTCCCTTGCCCTCCCTGCAGAATGTCTCTGATGTACAGTCGCCTGCTAATTTTGTTTAATTTATTCTAATTTTTTTTTCCTGATCCCTTACTTGGTTCCCCTACATTCCTCCTCTAAGAGAAGCCGTCCAATATTTTTCTTTTTCTTTCTGGCTTATTTCACTGAGCATAATCCATTCTAGCTCCATCTATGCTGCTGTGAATGGCATGAGTTTATCTTTCTGATTGCTAAAAAATATTACTTTGTGTATATGTACCACATCTTCTTGATCCAGTCATCTATTTTGGGGCATTTGGGTTGTTTCCAGAGCTTACCTATTGTAAATTGTGCTGCAGTAAACAGGCGTACAGATGTCCTTTTGAATTAACAAACATTAAATTTTTAAATGGTTTTAAAGGTTGGAAAATTTTTAAGTGACTCAAGATTAGAAGGATAAATGAACCTATCGGCAGTTTCATATTAAAAGCACATTATAGGAAAGGGAAGAACTATTCAACACATAGTGTTGGCAAAATTGGTTCATTTTGCAAAAGAAAAATAAAGTCCAGTCCTCACATTGCCTCATGTTATTAAGAAAAAAATGAAACTATAGGAAAACTACAAGAAAACAAAAATGACTATCAGTGATACAGAAGCAACAAAAAAAAAAGAAAAATAATAAGATTGTGTAAAAATGAAAAGTATCTACATAAGATAGTAAAAGGCATATGGACTTTAGAAAATATAATCTAAACATGATGGGATGTTAATATCTTTGCTTATAAAATGCTCAAACAATTTGATAAGGAAAATACAAATACTCAAACATATAATGAAAAAAGGAAATATTTAATGCATTCAGAGAAAGATGTTCAAATTAAAAAGAAACATCAATTAAAATAAGTATCATTTGGGGCCTCCCCGGTGGCGCAGCGGTTGAGCGCTGGGTTGCGAAGCTGCCCGCAGCCTCTGCAGCGCCGGTTCGATCCCCGGCTGCTCCCCGGCCACCGGAGGAGGGTCCCACATGGCGCGCAGACCTCTCCTGCCGCCCGCTGCTCCCCTCAGCAGTGTCCTTCAGTCCTTCTGCCTGCTCTGCTCCCCGCTCTGGCTCTGGTGAATTCTCTCACCCTCCCACGCTTCTGACTGTACCCAGTGCTTGTATAAATAAATAAATAAATCTTTAAAAAAAAAAAATTTGAAAAAAAAAAAAAGTATCATTTGCCTGTTCAATTATCAAAAAGAGACTTTTAAAATAACAACCCTGGCGAGGATATTATGAAAATACACTCACGTATTGTTGGTAAAGGTATAAACTTTTGTCTTTTCAGAAAACAGCGTGGTAACAAGTTCCAAGAATATGTTCCTATCCCTTAATAATTTTATTTCTAGAAATATATGTTAAGGTAATAATTCTAAATACTGAAATATGCCTAATGTAAAGAAATGGATAAATAAGCTACAATCATTTGCTAACATGTTATACAACAATTTTTAAAAATTAGAAACTCTGGAATCTAAGAAAAGTATCATGACAACAACGGGCAGACTATAAGTAAAAAAAAAAACAAAAAACAATGTGAGGGAAAGGAATAAATGGAAACCTACTAAAAGCCTACGCAAGGGTTGCGGAGGAACTACAGCACCTCGGCCCGGTCGGCCCCTCTGTGAAGATGGCCTCCGTCCCAGTCACCACGCTGCCTAGCCTGGTCACAGCAATCGCCTCCCGCCAGGTCTCCGCCTGAGCGACAGCACGACGAGTGATACCCTGCATACTGCAGTCAGGACAATTTCCATTAAAATCTTAATAAAAACACATCACTTCCCCACTCAAACTCTTTCCGTCACTGCTCAAGGACCTCAGAGAACGGCAATCCCCGACTAGAATACTGAGCCAGACCAAGCTCTTTTCCGCCTCCTGTTCCCGTCCCAGCGTCTCCTCTCCTTTCCACTTGCACGCCGCATTTGCCCAGCCAACCAATTCCTTTTCAGGCTTCGAGACTCAGCTTCGGACTCCCAGGGTGGCTGGCTGACATGAACTAAAATTCATGTATGTATTCAGAAAATCACAACACAAAGTTAAAGAGAAATAGAATTTACATACTAGAGGCAGAGTTAATAGTTACTTGCATTATGGAGCAACGTATTTCATCAACCTTCATCTTCTGAGGGCTAACTCTTCCCCATGTAACGTGCTAACTACAAGCAATACGAGGAAGAATAATGTTGGACATATTCCAACATCTGATTCCAGATGTTGATCCTAACTCAGGGAATCTGTCATTGGAAAGGAAAATTTCTAGCAAAAGATTTCAAAAGCAAATGGAGGAGCAGGTAAGGGAAACAGAATGCATGGCACAGACATACTTTTTTCAAGTACATTTCTTATAATTTCATATAGATTGTAAATGAATTATATTACCCATCTTTGTATCTCTTCCTAGTGCTTTATACATATTTATTCCCTTATTAAGAATGTTATATGATATACTCTGCACATAAATTACCTTTTAATATCAGAAAAAAATTAAAAAGTATAGTTACTTATTGCTACTTAAGTTAGAGATCTTTAGGTGATAGGACCATGTTGATACGAAAAAGACGGGAGAACTGTGTGAGAAAGAACACAGATCATATATAATGACTATCCACGTGACAGCTCCACCTGTAATAGTGACAGCAGCTGCAAGCAGCTAGGGAAATGTAACTGATAGTTTCGAGTAGGAGTTAAAGATACAATTTTAAAAGATATCAATGTAAAAAGATATAACTTCACTGATTTCCTTATTTCAAATAATTCAAAAAGCTGATTCTCTTCATAAATTTTCTGTACAATACAAACCTTATCAATTTCTTGTCTATTTTAAGCTGGGATAATAAAAACAATTTATAATATTGGATAGTCAAATGTAAGATTAAGATACTTTGCCTTATAAATGAAAAACCTAATGTCGCTACCTCTCATTTGCAGAGTTTTATCTTTAAAGAAAAAGAAAATTTTAGATAATGACCTGTAAATTTGAATCAATGCTGACATTACCTGGCATAGCATTCCCACTTATGTCAGCATTCATGACAGCAGTGAAAACAAAGAAAAATAAACATTAAAGTAGGCGCTTAAAAGAAGGGGAGATGTAAAGCATAGGTATATTCTGCAGTATAGATAACTTCCTCTTGGAAATTAAATACAGGAAAGCTAAAGTTGGCTAGGATTCTACGCTGTGCAACAGTTATCAGACTAGTTGATCCTAATGAAAGGTTATGATTTTTTTTTTAAAGATTTATTTATTTATTTATTTATTTATTTATTTATTTATTTATTTATTTATGCAAGCACTGGGGACAGTCAGAAGTGCGGGAGGGTGAGAGGATTCACCAGAGCCAGAGCGGGGAGCAGAGCAGGCAGAAGGACCCAAGTACACTGCTGAGGGGAGCAGCGGGCGGCAGGAGAGGTCTGCGCGCCATGTGGGACCCTCCTTCAGTGGCTGGGAAGCAGCCGGGGATCGAACCGGCGCTGCCGAGGATGCGGGCAGCTTCGCAACCCAGCGCTCAACCGGTGCGCCACCGGGGAGGCCCGAAAGGTTATGATTTTTATAGCAGCCCTCTATATTTCTTGGATCTGCAGAGATATCTGAGATTCGGTATCAATCCAATATCCTATCTCATTTGAGACTTTAACATTCATTACAGCACAAAAGTAGTGACCTATAATCTCTGACACTATAGAGAAGGAAATACTTCTCAGGAAATAAATGAAAAGCTAACTAAGTTTTGTTTGTTTTTTTTTCCCCCACAATTAACTGTACTCTCAATTAAGCAGTTTAAAATTATATATTGATTGATTTTAAACTCTCCTTGTTCTTATGAGCCATTGATTTTAAAGACAGCAGAGGTCTGTATCTCTATAAATTTGGGGTACAACTGCTATAAATGTCTTAAAAATTGCAGAAAAAGTTTAAATGCTAATATACCTCTTCAAGTACATGGCTCTGGGTACTACTAAAACTATTAATTGTAGCTGCATAAAATTTGGTCTAGCTTGATTAGAATAAAGCTAAATGAATCACAATGAAATTAACACCCTACTTATAGATAAAACTCATATTAAGTAAGACAAGACTTTTTTACTTATTCTTAGATTAATTAAACATTTTTCTTGGCATAGACCTTTGCACTAGACAAGTGATGCTCCAAAACAGTCTTTAAAAAAAATCTTCTGTCAGGGGCCTCCCCAGTGGCGCAGCGGTTGAGCGCTGGGCTGCGAGGCTGCCCGCAGCCTCTGCAGCACCTGTTTGATCCCCTGCCGCGGGCTAGGGTCCCACATGGCGCGCAGACCTCTCCTGGCGCCCACTGCTCCCCTCAGCAGTGTACTTCGGTCCTTCTGCCTGTTCTGCTCCCTGCTCTGGCTCTGGTGAATTCTCTCACCCTCCCGCGCTTCTGACTGTACCCAGTGCTCGTGTAAATAAATAAATGAATAAATCTTTAAACAAAAAAAAAAAGTCTTCTGTCAATGCAGACCAATGAAAACTTCCATTATTGAAGAATAATTAAGGACTTACCATGATATCAGCAATGACAGTAGCAAAATTTTGTAATGCTATTCTAGTATGACTGGCCTATGGTATTTCCAGTTTTAAAACTGGAGATCTTCCAGGTCATTGTTTATCTTGAAAGCAACAATTTCCCCACAGTAACTAATCTACCCAAATGCATTACCCCAGGGGCAAATTTCCAGCAAAGCTGACTAGCCTGTGTGAAATCTACTGTTACTTACTATCAATATTCATCTGTAATACTCTGAAATTTTACCAATTAGGAATTTGTCAGTATCCTTTTCAAAAAATGTAAAGAGACAAGTGTTGACAAAATTCTTTACCGTTTGGACTGTATGTAAATCAACTTCTCCTATAACTACCTGAGACCAAAGTACCACAGGAACTGCAAACGCAGACAGAAGGGTCAGCGGGCTGAGTGCTGGCTAAGTACAAACGTCCGGGAGGAAGCAGTCAGTATGGAAACTTCCCGAAACAAGAATGTGGGCGCCGAAGAGCCCTGGATTTCAATCTGGTTTCACTACTGATGATGTGACTTTGAGCAAGTAACATCTCTCTGCATCTCAGTTTGCTCTACTGTAGGTAAGAACACTACCCCACAAGCTGCCGGACATGACGTACACCAGCACAGCGCCTCATGGCTAACAGATTCTCAAGAGAGGACAGTCTCCTTCTTTCCATGTGCATCACTCAGGCACCAAAGAAAGGGAGCAGCAGAGACTGAGTATGAACAGGGCGCGAGAAAAACATTTGAAAATACCACCTTGAAAACCAGGTTCAATCCAGAAAATTTCAGAAAACCCGTCTTTTCTCCGTGCAACGCCCATCCTTCCTTCACGACCATATTGTCGAGTCCCAGGACGTACTCAGTACACACAGTGTATAGTGCACTAAAGCTATACATCATGACATTTTTAATCTTATATTAAAGGAAAAAAACAGACTTGGAAGGTGAAGTGAAAACCAATCTTCCATTCAATCCAATGCCACAAATGCTACACTAATGCCTTTCACGAGGAAGCTGCGTCTTGTCCTCCACAGGCGAGCAGAACGCAAAGACGTGCAAAAAAGAAAAATCCTTCCTTTGAAGGAGTCCGTAGTTTTAAGTTCTCCGATTTCAGAGAATTTTATAACAGTCATCTCTGAGAAACCCAATTAGTTCATAATTTAGGAAGTTTTTCCATGTTCTTCATCACTATGAATAGCATGTTAGAGCATTAGGAAGAAAAGCTACAGAAAACTGCTGGTTTTTTTAAAGATTCTGCTTGTACTGCTAGTCAAATTGTCATGAATTTTTAAATTTTCAATACAAAAACTTACCTGCTAAAATTTCAGTGTTTCGCGCAGCTATTGTTTTTACTTTTATTATTCCTGATTCAGCAGCCTGTGAGAATAAAAATACAATGAAAAGCTTAGCTATCATCAGGAGTTATCTAAGGGAAAGAAATCACACACGACAGATAAAATCTCAAGCACGTAAGTCACTAGCATCTTTTTTATTTTCAAAACGAGACGCCAAGCAGAGCAGGGACATAAACACTCGGTGTCCAGTGACTGACTGGTCATTCACACAACAGGTCGGCCCCGGAGGACGGTGCCTCTCTCTGCTTCAGGGCACGCTGGGAATGCCCCCGCCCCCCGTGGACATAAATGTTCAGAAAATAAAAAAATAAACATGCCCATATGAAACCGCAAAGCACCACACCATCAAGTCAGATTACTCTGCATTAGAAGAGACTATATAAGCGAGAACTTCGTTACTACTTTGAGGTGACGGTTTTTGCTAAACGCCCAGGCCATGCTCCTCAAGCATCGACAACAGCTCTTCACAAATACACCCAGCGGACACCACTCGGCGGTCATGACGCACTCTCCGCAGGGCCACGGGGCTGTTCTGTCACGACAGCCATTCCCCGCGAGGTCATGCCCGTCACGCCACCTCACGCAGCTCACACACATCCGCTTCTCCGTCGCAGCTGGAAGCCCCACGAGGAGGCGAGCCCTATTTCATTCACGCCTCCCGTCAGCACTGCTCCTCCTGCCCGCCCTGGCGCCTCGCACACAGGCCGCACGGTCAGCGTCTGACTCAGAAGACACTGCTGCAGAGACGGACGCGGCACCAGGGCCGCGGCTTCGCTGCCCGCCACTCTCGGCTCGGTCCTGCTCGCGGGCCGCTTCCCGTGGTGGCACTAGAATGTTACCGTCACTCCACACCTCACCATTTCTTCTCACACCAGCCAGGTAAGCAAAGAGGTGGGGGTGATAAGGATGGTGAAGGTCTAAACTAGATGACACTAATCAAGGTGCTCTGGAGAAAGAAAAATTAAATTAACTCATCTAAATCCAAAGAGCCGACGGAAGGGGAGCAGGGGTGACCGCCGAGGGCGGCGCAGGGCCGCCGTGGAGAGACCTCCTGAGCGTCCCCACCAGCAGGTCGCGGAGACTCACACACGCACCAAGTTCAATACCGTTTCCTTCACAAAAACTCCAATGCATTTTTCATGATCCCTCTGAGAGCAGAATCTCAAAATTAGAACAAATTCACCAAAGGTCCACATGAAGGATTCCCAAGGCACAGCATGAAACAAATGAGGGGTTCAAATAAATCACAATGTTGATAGAACAATGCACTCGGGAGCACCCGGGGAGGCGGGAACTGTCTGAAGGCTTGTGACGATGTTAGATGACAGGTAAAAATCAAAGGACCTAAAGTCAAGTCCACACTTGGGAATTCGTAATAGATCTAGAAATATTAAGAATGTCTGGATTACAAACAGACATACAGAAAAACCTCTGATACACACGACAGGTTTTCCTAACCTACCAAATGCTGAGACTGAAACGCAGGCGACGGGGAACAGTGACACGCACACGAGCGGAGCGCGCCTGCATGCCGGGCAGCCCTCGCCTCAGCATTCCAAAAAATTTAATCTCCAGCAAGTATCTAATTGGCACCTCATAAATAAACAAATGCTTTGCACCATGGCGGAGAGAAACAAGATGCAAAACCGACGGTTAGACAGGAAGCACAGAGTGAAACAGCAGACAAACACAGGCGTGAGCGGGGTGAGGGCACGCGGGAAGGCAGGGGGCGCGCACTGGCTGGAGAGCCGCGCGGGAGCGGCCGCTGGCTCGCTGGGGACTAGCTGGCGCCCGGCAGGCGCTCTCGGTCACTTCATAAACAAAGAGTGAAAGAGGAAAGAAATGAGAAAACTGCCTGGAAAGTTGGTCCATTGGTGAAACAAACGGAAGAGCAACATTTAAAGTGGGGCTGGCCGGCAGGTAGGATTCTAGCTGTGAAGGAGGGGAGGAGGTGACTCCAGGCCAGCACAAGGAAGCTCAGGAGGCGGAGCGTGGAGCCGGGAAGCCACCGAACGGAGCTGAAGGCGGCACAGCAGGCTGCACGGCTGGGCTGGTGGAAAAGCCTGTGAAGAAAAGCAGAGGCAATGAAGCTGGCAAGGAAGCCCGCGAAGGTCTCTGAGTGTAAAGCAGCTACTCGGGGTTCCCGAACCGTTGAGGCGAGTGCCATGGTGGCAGCACGGAGAATGCCCGTCACAGGTGCTGCCAGGCCAGGCTGAAGGCTGAGCCTGGAACTAGAGTAACCGCTGAGAAAACAGAAAAAAAGGAGGGAGGTGGGTTGGAAATCACAGCGCGACACGGAGCAGCGGTCAGGCGGGAGGACAGCCGGCGAGGACCAGCACGAGCAACGGCAGGTGCCAGCAGCAGAACCCGGGGGCTGGGCCGCACGGAAAGGCCATGTTTTGAGGAACAGAAGCTCAATGGTGAGCCCCGCCTAAAACGCGCGAACGCTGCTCGCCAGGTGGGTAGGAAGAAAAGCGGACCGTGGACCGTGGGGGAAGCTGCGGGTGTCCCGGTGGTGGGGGCAACGCAGTAACGCCCGCGGGGGGGACCCTGTACTTCTAACGTGCGAACAGCACTGTGAACCAACGTCACCTCAATGAAGAAGCAAATCAAGTGGCGCTGCTACCCCTGCAGCCCGTCCGCCTTCTCCCCCGAGCTCCGGCTCGCCTTCCTCGGGAATCCCACGGGCCTCTCCCGAAGACGCCACGTCGGGCACTCCTCCTGCCACGCTCGCCAGTGCCCCGAGTCAACTTCTCCTCCGTCGCCAAGGCAGTTTCCCTCACACTCCCTACCACGGCCTCTCCCACCACCAGCCCCTCCTAGCAACAAGGTCGCTTGCTCCCTCATCCCAGACCAGGCGGCCCCAGTCACACCCCTGTGCCTCTCATTCCCATTTGTCCCATCAACGCCGTTCTGCCCCCCTCCCTCCCTCTGCCCCAAGATGACGTGCAAAGTCTCAGGCTGAGTCAGTTCGCACACCCGTGCCTTTGCCACCCCAGCCTTCGGGGGGCCCGCGCTCCAGCAGGCACTCCCCTCTCTCCCAGCCCCAAGGCCACAGGCTGCCCAGCTGACTCTCCCCTCCTGCCCGCTATTCCCCGCGCCCGGCGGGCGGCATAGCCACCCACATGCGGGAGAGACCCTGTGCCTCCCAGTCAGATCCGGAGTTGGAAACCAATGTTGTCTCACTTAGGGGGGAAAAAACCTTAAAAAAAAATTCCCTCTTCAGTCCTGATCTTCTTACTTTATATTATTCCTGGTGTATCTTAGCTACTTGTATGGTTATTATATAAACTGATCCTCCGAGACCTCCCTCTCTTAGGGCCACACTATCCTTTCCAAACACCTGCTGGCCGACGCCATCTGGACGTCACACGGAGTCTCAATCCTAATATACTTGCAAGCTCTCACTGTCCCCACAGACGACTGTTTCTCCTACAGCCCTTCTCGAGGCAATCCAGCCACCTCCTCATGACAGAGGCTGGGGAACCCTCACAGCATCAGCACCAACTACTGAGTGGCTGAGAAAAAGCCTAACCGCCACCTTCCCAAGGCAAAGCCTGTGCTTTCCCCCGCCAGGTGACACCTGCTCTTCTGCTAAAGAACGGCAGGTGGAGTCCGCTGACAACTGAGGAGACAAAAGTGTTGGCAGAGCAGGTTCTTTTTGGAAGCATCAAATCCAAACTTCATAGGGCAAGTTCTCATCACAGAATCTTTCCTGACAGTGAAGGCAAGTCATTTAAGTAAGTATGAAAATAACTCCGAATTCCTCGGCGAGCTCTGCGGGAAAGCAGCAGCCTCCGGACTGCAGCAGACGGGACCCGGCAACTGCTTGTCCCTGGGGCACCGCACACTTCCGAGACAGCAGAAGTTGAGCAGCTTTTTATAAAACTTGCAAGATAAAGCAAATGCCAAAATGTCAATCCAGGAAGGACTCCAGACCCCACTGGGCTCACTACCTGGGGCCCCACACCCTCTGGCTGCGGCCGCGTCCCCTGCAGTCCAGGGGCGGCCGAAGAGGCCGAGGCGCCGGGGCCAGGCGGCCCACCCGGGCCGCAGCGCCCAGAGCCAGACGCGCCCGCCGAGACCCCCAGTGCCGGCGCCCGCCGGCGGCCCCAGACGACCGGCCCCGACGCGGCAGGGGCCTGGGCGGCAGGGGACGGCTCCGCTCCCCGCGCGCAGGTCCCCCCGCAGCGGGACAGCGCGCCCCGAGCCGCGAGCCCCAGCGCCTGTGCTCCGGCTCGGCCGGCCCCGAGCTCGGGGGGCCGGGGAAGGCGACCCCGACCCCGAAGGGACCGGGCCGAGGGGGACACCGCGCGCGGCGCCCGGACAGGCCCGCGGACCGCCCGCCGGCTCGGGACCCCGAGAGCTGAGGCCGAAACGAAAACCAGGCCGGCTGGGGGGCGGGCGCGCCCCGGGCCCCCGCGACCCCCGGGTCCCCCGGCCCCCCGCGTCCCCCCGCGCCCCGGCCCGGGCCCACCTCCTTGACGGGCGGGAACTTCTTCCTGCACTCCAGGGACAGGGCCCGCAGGTCGCTCTGCATGTTCTCCAGCAGCTTCTTCACCGCCTCGGGGCTGTGGGGGCCGGACATGGTCCCCCGCTCTCGGCCCAGCCTCGGCGGCGCGAGCCCCGGGCGCGGCCCCCTCCGCGCGGCCCCGCGCCCCGCGCCGCGCCGCGGCGCCCCCGCCCCCGCCCGCGGGCCCCGGCTCCGGCCGCGGCGCCGAACGCGGGCAGGTGCGAGCCGCTGCGCGCCCGCGGGCCGGCCGAGCTGGCGGAGGCTCAGCGCAGGCTCCCGGGCCCCCCGGCCTCGCCGACGCCATTTGCCGAGTCGCCCACAATCCCCGGCGCGCCCGGACACGTCAGCGGCGCTTCCGGGCGCCGCGGCCACCGCCCCCGCCGCGGCCAACCCGGGCTGCGAGCTCGGGGGCGGGGCCGGCGGGCGGGGGCGGGGCCGCGCTCGGGGCAGGCTCACTTCCGGGGCGGGGGCCGCGCTCGGGGCAGGGCCACTTCCGGGGCGGGGCGGGCACCTCCCCAGCCTCGGGGCGGGGCGTCGCGGGGCGTCCGGCCGCCGTGGCCTCCTGTGGGCTGGACGGTGCTGGGCGGGCGCCCGGCCGCTGCCTGGCGTTGCTCCCAGGTGTGCCGAGTCGGGGCGCGCGTCAGCGCCTCAGGTCGCTGCTTTGGGGTGTGGCCTGTGCCTGGTCCCTCTGGGCCGGTCGCCCCAAGTCCACGCCGACCCCTGGACACTTGCTTTCCTGCTGCGGCCCTGCTCGCCGCGACCCCCCGCCGGCCAGACCGGCGCGTCCCCGAGGCCGGGGTGGCTGCTGCTTCCTGCCTCGTTCCTGGCGGGGGAGCCAGCAACGACCACAGCACTGGGCATGCTGCGGATGGCGAGTGGCCACTCGTTGTGATGGCCAGTGGCCAGTCGTTGTCCATGGCCGGTGACCAGTCGTTGTCCATGGCCGGTGGCCACTCGTTGTCCATGGCCGGTGGCCACTCGTTGTCCATGGCCCGTGACCAGTCGTTGTCCATGGCCGGTGACCAGTCGTTGTCCATGGCCGGTGACCACTCGTTGTCCATGGCCGGTGACCAGTCGTTGTCCATGGCCCGTGACCACTCGTTGTCCATGGCCGGTGGCCACTCGTTGTCCATGGCCGGTGACCACTCGTTGTCCATGGCCGGTGGCCACTCGTTGTCCATGGCCCGTGACCACTCGTTGTCCATGGCCGGTGGCCACTCGTTGTCCATGGCCCGTGACCAGTCGTTGTCCATGGCCGGTGACCAGTCGTTGTCCATGGCCGGTGGCCACTCGTTGTCCATGGCCCGTGACCACTCGTTGTCCATGGCCGGTGACCACTCGTTGTCCATGGCCGGTGACCACTCGTTGTCCATGGCCGGTGACCAGTCGTTGTCCATGGCCCGTGACCACTCGTTGTCCATGGCCGGTGGCCACTCGTTGTCCATGGCCGGTGACCACTCGTTGTCCATGGCCGGTGACCAGTCGTTGTCCATGGCCGGTGACCACTCGTTGTCCATGGCCGGTGACCAGTCGTTGTCCATGGCCCGTGACCACTCGTTGTCCATGGCCGGTGACCACTCGTTGTCCATGGCCGGTGACCAGTCGTTGTCCATGGCCGGTGGCCACTCGTTGTCCATGGCCGGTGACCAGTTGTTGTCCATGGCCGGTGGCCATTCGTTGTCCATGGCCGGTGGCCATTCGTTGTCCATGGCCAGTGACTAGTTGTCAATGAATAAAACCTCTGCTAAAAGCAGAGTTTTGATGCTCAAATAAGGAACAGTGAAAAAGACCTCACTCTGTGACTCAGACCCCAAGGACTCAAAGCTGAGCAGAAACACACACGCACACACCAGCTTCTGCAGGATCCAGGTCCCTCTGCTTTTGCCTCCCGAGCTACCCAGTAGGAAGCGGAGCGAGGGAGAACCCTGAGCCAGGCCCGGGGGGGAGGTGAAGACGTGGGTGGACACCTGCGGACAGCGGAGCCGTGACCCCTTTCCAGGATCCAGGAGGACTTGGGATTGTTGCGGGCAGCAGCTTGGGCTGGGAAATAAGATCTTGCAAATATGTTGTAAAAAAAAATAATTTCTTTTCCTCTTGCTCCAATGAGTAAACCAGGGTGGATGACGGTGACAGGGGAGGTGACAGTCGGGGAGGTGGTAGAAAGATCATTTCTGCCCATTTTACACCTTCGGGAAAATTTGTGACTATCACCTCGTATGGCACAAGCTTTGTGCAATAAAAGCCGTAGACTCTTGAGGCGAAGCAAGCTGAAGTGGAATACGTGGCAGACATGATTCGTGAGGTCTCAGGGAGCTTTTGAAATTTTTTTTCTAATTGGTTCGGTAATCTAGGATCAAATTCTCACCAATGCTTTTCCCATGTAGCCAATTTTTCTTTGATTTTTTTAAATTATCAGTAACTGGCATGGCTGACTCAACATCCTTTTCCAGAGAGCATTTTGCATCTCTTCCCTTTGTAATCGAGGAATGCACCTGGAATTCATGAATCAGAAATGTACTTAATTATGATTTGAAAAGTCAATTTCTTCGTAACTGCAGCAGTTACCTATGTCCAGTATTTAAATTTCTTTCAAGAATCGGTCTCTTACATAGATGTGCCCAGAGATTTCATTGTCCCAGAAGCAAGGTGGGGCTTTATGTCAACATCAAACAAGTTATCAGAAATAAAAAATAATCTTTGATTCTCCAACGTAAGAAATCAGCTAACATCAGGCGCTCTCTTTCTGTGAGACAGAATCATTTCTCATTAATAGCAAAAACCAAATACCCAAATAGATACTGTTCTCAAGTACCTCAAGAAAGGACACGCAGAATTGTAGTGCCCTCTACATCCAGTCTGTAACTTAAGCTGTTGTTCCCACAAGTCATGCTTTCACAGTGTGATCATCTGGTAAAGTCTCAGGATCTGGAGTCACGAAGCCCTAAATTTGAATCTCAGGCCTGTGAGTTGCAACCTGGATGACTCCAGCAAATGACTTAACGTCTCTAATTTTCATTTTCCACTTCTTTAAATGAAGAAAATGCAGGTGCCTTCCTTGCGGGCGTAGTTCTAAGCTTCAGTGAGATGATGCCGGGGAGCGCCATGCCGGGCACACACTGCGTGTGGACCACGTAAGCTGCAGAAAAGGGCAACTCTTTGTAAGCATCACTCACACTGGCTTTTTGATTATAACACAATTAAGATGCTACGGTGCAATACAGAGGTCAGTCAGACGGGAGGAAATGCTTCATTTCGGGCGCTCCAGGGTAACACAGCCTAGTCTAAGCACATTCCTGGACTTGGTGTTACGGGAATAAAGCCAGCAGTTGTTGCCTGGAGGTCTCTGGGCCTTGCTATCAACCCGTGTGTACACGGCAGCAGCTCCAGGGCGTTCGTGTGAGGTGCAGACGTGACGTGGCCTCTGCCCACGGAAGTCTCTGCCATGAAGTGTCATGGGGACCTCACACCTTCCCCCACGGAGCAGGTCCTCTCTGTGGATCACCTTTCCCAGCGGAAGACCCACACCCAGGGAAGGAAACAGACCCAGACTTCACGGTTCCTGCTGCCTCCTCCGCTCCCCCTCAGCAGAGTCACTCCGTTCAGTCCACCTCTTCGCGACTTTCCATTTCCTGCCCTTTCTCCAGCCTCGCTGGCCTGGCCCGAGCCATCGTCCTCTCGCAGCTGGTTTACAACCACGTCCAAAGCATAGTTCATGTCAATTTATTTTCCACCCTGTTCTCAGAGTCCTCGATCTGAAATGAAAATATGAATATGATTTTTTTTTGTTTCCAGGTTAAAGTGCAAACTCCTTCACATCATGCACTGGTTCATTTCTTTTTAAATAGATCAAACAGGGCCTCCCCGGTGGCGCAGGGGTTGAGCACTGAGCTGCAAAGCTGCCCACAGCCTCTGCAGCGCCAGTTCGATCCCCGGCCACCGGAGGGGGATGGCGCGCAGACCTCTCCTGCCGCCCGCGGCTCCCCTCAGCAGTGTACTTTGGTCCTTGGCCTGTTCTGCTCCCCACTCTGGCTCCTGTGAATTCTCTCGCCCTCCCGCGCTTCTGACTGTACCCAGTGCTTGTATAAATAAATAAATAAATAAATAAATAAATAAATAAATAAATGAGTCTTTAAATAAATAAATAGCTCAAACAGTAGGAGATCAAAGAAATAAGAAATGTGAGAATAAGAAATTCCAGCCACAAAATAAGGTCCCTTGGAAATCAAGGGACAGTTTGGCCGCACAGAGAGAAGGTCGTGAGGGAATTATAAGGCCCTTTGGCGTCCTGCGTGCTTCAGCTCACAGCAGATGCGTGTTGGCTTCCTTCTGCCTCCTCGCGTGCTTGCGAATCACCCACACGCGACGGGAAGTCTCTGCTGCTGGCGTTTCTCCTGCTTCTGCCAACCCATCACTCATTCTCGACTCTCCGTCAAGCTTCTCAGAAACAGAATCTAGATACTAGAGCCTCCTTCCTCTGCCCTCGGCTCCCTGTGGCCTTTACTGCTCTTCTTCGTTCTCTGTCTTTTGAGCTCCCTGTCACCACCTCGCCGACCAAACACCTGCCTGTTACGTGCGCCCTTCAGATTTCTAAAGAGAGAATCGAAGTGGTTTAATTAATCCAACGTAGATGGCAAAGGCCGTGTCTGTTTCTTCCAGCCCCACCCCATGTCAGTGAACACAGCAGCCCCGCCGGCCTTGGCGCTGGCCTTGCCCTGGTTCAGACAGCTCGGCTGAGGGTGGCTGGCCTGTGCCATCCGTGGGAGGGGGGCAGATGGCCCAAATCACGGGCGTTTGTGCTGAGACAGTGTGTGGCTATCTGGTTGTTGAGTGAATTCTTTAGAAATTTTATTTGCAAATATGTTAGTAAATACCGTGTGAGCCACTTTTCATCGGTAATTGTTTTTCAAGTATTTTTAATTTAATTTAATGTTTTTGTTTGAAAATTGAAACTGTTAATCTCAGAATTCATAGCCATCGTGGATTTCATGTTAAATTTATTCTAATCTCATTCTGTTATTTCTTCCTTTGACATCACTGATTCCCTGTCTGTGAGTTTTTTTCCCTGACCTTTTTACAGTTTCATTTTTCAAAGAATTTTACCTAGTGCTGAAA